GGATAATCAGAGTTGAACTATACGGAAAGGTGGTTTAGATTCGAAATGAGTTAAGTGAAGGTGTGTCACCAGGTCATGCATTCTCAACTGTACAGGTATCGCCGGAATATAAGGTATACTCTGCCCATTGTTCCATGACTCATGGTGCCCCGTGCCCCCATTCATAAGAAATGTCTTTCCCCAGAGGTGCGCCAACACAGTTCCTGATTAAGACTTGCTTATAATAAATGAAGGACTGGGTTTAAGATGGGTGATAGAAATAGTGGAAATGGGACTGTGTTCAAGCTGTCTAAAGAAAATGATAGAGCAAAGGATGCGTTCAAGCTATTGGAAAGAAATAATGGAACAAAGACTGCGTTCAAGCTGTTGGAAAGAAATAATGGAACAAAGACTGCGTTCAAGCTGTGTGAAGGAACTAGTAGAGCAAGGACTGCATTCAAGCTGTGTAAAGGAAATAAATGAACAAAGACTGAATTCAAGCTGTGTAAAGGAGATATAACAAGACTGCGTTCCAGTTGTGTAAAGGAAATAGTGGAACAAAGACTGCATTCAAGATGTGTGAAGGAACTAGTAGAACAAAGACTGCGTTCAGGCTGTGAAAAGGAAATATCGGAGAAGGTTTGTGGACGCTTGGAATGAAAAGACGTGACAAGTAAAAAAAGAACACCTTCTTCAGCAGACAAGACAAAACAAGTAGTAACAACGGTCGCCCTGTTGGAGAGAAATGCTCTGCGGAGACCCCTAGACAATCGCAATTTTACCGCCTCCCCCCAGATGCGTACCGGATTGGGGTATGGTGTAAGGGAACGACATGGGGGGCAACATTGGGGGTTATAAATAGGCCTAGGTTGTATAAATCTATGTGTGTCATGGAGCGCAGTTTCGGGAATGAGCATGAGCCTCGGGCAGCATAATAATGTAGTCTAGTAACTGCTAACCCAAACCCCCCCCCCCAACTTTTTACAATTCTCCATATCCTTAACCAAAAGGTCGACCCGCAACTTAAAAAAAAAAAAAAAAAAAAAANTTTAAAAATTATATTCTCCCATTAAAAGATTCGGGCATCAAAAGACGACATTTACTCATCAAAAGACGACATTCTCTCTTCAAAAGACGACATTCTCTCATAAAAAGACGACATTCATCAAAGGACGACCTTCTCTCATTTAAAAATTATATTCTCCCATTAAAAGATTCGGGCATCAAAAGACGACATTTACTCATCAAAAGACGACATTCTCTCTTCAAAAGACGACATTCTCTCATAAAAAGACGACATTCATCAAAGGACGACCTTCTCTCATTTAAAAATTATATTCTCCCATTAAAAGATTCGGGCATCAAAAGACGACATTTACTCATCAAAAGACGACATTCTCTCTTCAAAAGACGACATTCTCTCATAAAAAGACGACATTCATCAAAGGACGACCTTCTCTCACATAAAGATGACATTCTCCCATTAAAAGATGACATTCTCTCATCAAAAGACGACAATATTTCACCAAAAGACGACCTTCTCTCATATGAAGATTACATTCTCCAATCAAAAGACGACATGCTCTCAAAATAACCCATTTAATGATCGCCGTTTCTGGGAAAAGTTTACTACGGCGGTTGTTTCCCTTACTTTTCTTTCCTTATGCTTGCACGCAGATGCCCATTAGCTCTATAGGGCCTACATGACGTCCTTAGCTCTATACATGACGTCCTTAGGTCTATACATGACGTACTTAGCTCCATACATGAAGTCCTTAGCTCTATACATGACGTCCTTAGCTCTATACATGACGTCCTTAGCTCTATTACATGTTGTCCTTAGCTCTGTGCATGACGTCCTTAGCTCTATGCATGACGTCCTTACAGAGGCGTAGCGTAAGTGTTCGGCTCTCTGGGACAATATTCACGCCCAAGGGCAAAGATTCCTTTGAAAGCGCCCCCTTTTCTTTTTTCAACTCTTAAACCCAATATTTTCATCGATAAAATAATATCAAAACACACTTTTACGCCCCTAGCTAGCTGGAGCCTGGGGGACATCTGCCCCCTGGCCCCCTTTGCTACGCCTCTGCGTCCTTAGCTCTACAAATGACTTCATAACAAGTATGTTCAAGATCAAATCAATTCCCCTCATCCCAAAATAATTCCCGGTTGCGGGGCCCCTAAAAGATGTGTAACCCCTAAAAGATGTGTAATCCCTAAAAGATGTGTGACCCCTAAAAGATGTGTGACCCCTAAAAGATGTGTGACCCCTAAAAGATGTGTAACCCCTAAAAGATGTGTGACCCCTAAAAGATGTGTGAGGGTAACCCCTAAAAGATGTGTGACCCCTAAAAGATGTGTGACCCCTAAAAGATGTGTGACCCCTAAAAGATGTGTAACCCCTAAAAGATGTGTGACCCCTAAAAGATGTGTGACCCCTAAAAGATGTGTGACCCCTAAAAGATGTGTAACCCCTAAAAGATCTGTAACCCCTAAAAGATGTGTGACCACTAGGCACATGCTTCATTACCCTTTAAGTTAATGCATCACTTAGCCCAGATACATCACTTTGTCCCCTTCTCCAGCCCCACTCCATACAATTTTTTTAAAATAAAAAAAATGTGCATGATTGGACGATTGGCGGTAAGAGCAACAACTTTGAACATATTTGTTTTTTAGATCGACAAAACTGAGTTCTGCCAAAGAACTGCTTTCGTGAAAATGAACCCTAACTATGGTCTACTCACATCATAGGTGACGTGTTTTAATACGGTCTACTCAGATCATTGGTGACATGTTTTAATACAGTCTACTCAATCATTGGTGACATGTTTTTAATACAGTCTACTCACATCATTGTTGACATGTTTTAATACGATCTACTCACATCATTGGTGACATGTTTTAATACAGTATACTCACATCATTGGTGACATGTTTTAATACAGTCTACTCAATCATTGGTGACATGTTTTTAATACAGTCTGCTCAAATCATTGGTGACATGTTTTAATATGGTCTACTCACATCATTGGTGACATGTTTGAATACAGTCTAGACACATCATTGTTGACATGTTTTAATACGATCTACTCACATCATTGGTGACATGTTTTAATACAGTATACTCACATCATTGGTGACATGTTTTTAATACAGTCTGCTCAAATCATTGGTGACATGTTTTAATATGGTCTACTCACATCATTGTTGACATGTTTGAATACGGTCTATTCACATCATTGGTGACATGTTTAAATACGGTCTACTCACATCATTGGTGACATGTTTTAATACCGTCTACTCACATCAATGGTAACATGTTTTAATACAGTCTACTCACATCAATGGTGACATGTTTTTAATACAGTCTGCTCAAATCATTGGTGACATGTTTTAATATGGTCTACTCACATCATTGTTGACATGTTTGAATACGGTCTACTCACATCATTGGTGACATGGTTTAATACGGTCTTCTCACATCAGTGGTGACGTGTTTTAATACAGTCTACTCTCATCATTGGTGACATGTTTTAATACCATCTACTTACATTATTGGTGACAAGTTTTAATACGATCTACTCACATCATTGGTGACATGTTTTAATACCGTCTACTCACATCAATGGTAACAAGTTTTAATACAGTCTACTCACATCAATGGTGACATGTTTTAATACGGTCTACTCACATCATTGGTGACATGTTTTAATATGGTCTACTCACATCATTGGTGACATGTTTTAATACGATCTACTCACATCATTGGTGAAATGTTTTAATACCGTCTACACACATTATTGGTGACATGTTTTAATACGATCTACTCATATCATTGTTGACATGTTTTATTACAGTCTACTCACATCATTGGCGCCCTCCTCCCAACAAGAAAATATTAATAAACATAGGCCTATTGTTCATGAAATCTTTGGTGCCCTGTAAAGACGATGCATGGAATCAATGCCCTTTGGCATGGCCTGAATCTGTCAGATATATTAAATTATCAAACAATTCTCATTCTTTAACTCTTGCCTGTAGAGTTGTACATTTCAATGAATGAATGATTATAGTCAGTTATAGGCTTACCAATGATAAAAAAAGTCATAAACAAATAAGGAAAACATTTATGTTATCATCTTACTCGCCTGTTTAAGATAAACCTTTGGTTGTTTGTGCTTTTCCCGAAAAAACTAAAAAATAACTACAACTTTTCGTGACTACTCCTACCTATTCCTTGTTAGTAGAGTTTTTCTCTTGAAGAATAAGAGTAAGAGTGTAGACCATGTCTTTGCTTGTTTAAATACCACGAATTTATTTTTAATCAGAACTATTTAATTACAATTGAAGAAAAAGAATCGTATTTAGTCATAAAAAATGGAGCTAATAGTCTACCCTTGTCTTTGTTTTGTAATCATTAATTATAGAAGTCCATCAACTGAAAGATGTGTGTTGTAATAGAGCTGTAACTACAGACGCCAATAAAAATTGTGTGACATGGGAATCTACTCTTTAATTTTTATTTGTTAAAAAGAGTAATCAAAAGTTGTTAGCCCTTTAAATGTCAAGAAAACAAAAAAAATAAAAATGAGCATGTCAACTCCAGAAAAAAAATTGTCGACTCAAACTTTATAAAAAAATTAAATAAAATAAGATTTTTTTGTAAAATATGTGTGTAAATTTAATCACCATAAACTATATCGTATTGACTAAAAGGGACAAATCATCTAAAATCCTTCTATTTAATTATAAAATTTGAAGAGATTTAAAAATTGGACTAAAATATTATGGACTTGATACGAATAATAATTGTTTCAAAATCACAAATAAAAGAAAAATGTGTGTATCAGAATATTTCTCATTAATAAATTTGAAAAACTGTACAATAAAATTTAACATATTATTAAAATAGTATGATAATTTAAGTTTTCAATCACACATTTCTCTAATTTCAGATAATAAGAACTATTATTGGGTCTGTATCTAGGTTAGAGATTATTTTTGTTTGGTTGTTATGGCTGACAATGGAGGTTGCGTTCTGTAAATAGTGCTATCGGTTTCGTCCAAAACATGGCGACATTCTGATCGTTGACAATGTTAATGTGAATATGTATAAGATTTAGTTTATTCGAAATTGTAATTTGCTTATTTGGATAATTCATATTATTTGCAATTCTTTAGACACTGAAGCGTTATTTTGTTTTTGTATTTTTTAATTTTATTTTTATTTTACTTACAAATTCCTTCTCGTCTAGCCCAATCAATAAATTAGAAGATGCAGTCACTTGAGTTACAAGCTGCCTCTTGATTTGATAAATAAGTGTATAAGTATAATTGAAGAGTAAAGTCGATGAGGGCAAGAATGCGATTTATCATTAAAAAACAACAATTAAAAATGAAAGTTAATGTTTTATTCTTCTGCCTTTCTGTGACTCTACTATGGATGGATTAGTTTTAAATTGCTGAGATTCAAATTAATAATTTTTAAAAGATTTTTTAAGTATTCCACCATAAATAATATGAGGGTTAATAGGCTATATAATATATAATAATATTAATATTATATTATCGATATGGCTCTCATTTAATTTTCAATCATTTGAACAGTAATAGTAATATTCATAGTACTATTTTAATTTTTGGTTAAATTAACATATAGTTATGGGCATAGGCTAATATAAAGTGAGAGTAAGTAAATGCCTTAATAACCTTGCATAATATTTATATAGACATACATCAAACTTATACATAAACACACTTTGACAACATTGTATTGTGTCTGAACTAGTACTAGTATTAGTAGTGCTGTCTTAATCTTTAAAAAAAAATATTGATGTGAGCTTATGACATGTCAAGATGAGGATGACATTATCTTCTGCAAAAAGTCATACCTAAATTATTTTTTTTCACTTTTACTAATTTCCAGATTGTATAAAAAAAAAATTCTTTTATTATAAAATGTTACTTACAGAAGGCTTGAAAATAAAACTTTGCATCAACCGTTGAATGCATGCATTTGAAATACACCGTTTTCATTTCTGAACCATCTGATAAACTGCTACCAAAGGAATTAGAAATGGTGAAGTCTTATTTGAAAGGTGCTGATGGAACATTATTTCCTCTTTTACCTAAAGTCACGACAATAGGGCGGGAGAATTGTGATTTTACTATACAGGTTTGTATTAAGTAATAATCAAAATAGTTAAGTTATAAGAAGTAAAGTAAAGAAGGAAACAAATGAATCATCAAAATGTTGAATCTTCTTTATGATAAATCCAGCAATCTAGATTTCAGGCGGGCTCAAAATTATTATTTTTTTTCAAGGTTGTGGAATTTATGTACAATTTGTTTCTTTCATACATCTCTTCAGTACAACACTAATGCTGAAAAAATGACCAAGAAGACCATCCATAATCTTATACTGTGCCAAATTAAAATTGGAATGTGATCTGACAAAAAATTATAGCATATCTGTCAAGTATGTTAATGACTATTCATACACTTGCCTTTCTTAGTCGATGATTGGGCACAATTTATAAGCAATTATAATTTGAAATAATTCTGATATAGCAAAATAACTGTCCAATAAATTGACTAGCATATTGCATTCATAAGCTACATTGCTTTTCTGACTCCTGATAGATTTTAATAACTGCCTTACACCTTTGAAAGAACTTACCTGTGTAACTCTTGGATGTCTCATGTTATTTTCCTTTGTTATTTTAATCAGACCTTTTTACTCTTACGATTTTGGCTTACAATGTACGATTGTGAGGTGTATACATTATATATACTGTACGTTTCTTTTTTAACTTTTAAGAAAATGTATTGAACGATTTTGTTATGATATTGTACGATTTTAAGATTTTGAGGGTAAACAGATCTATGTTAATGTCTTATCAATGGTACTTCCAGCTGCCTGGTGTTGACTACCAGCATTGTGTCATAGAGTATAGTGAGCAAGATGACTGCTTCATTATTCAAGACCTGAACACTGCCCAGGGAACTTATGTAAATGATGTCAGAGTTCAAAATGCAGCAGTGAGACTGGCTCCTGGTGACCATATCAGATTTGGATACAACGGACAACCTTTTGAGCTGCAAGTGGAAAATCATCCTCAGGTAAGAGATTTATTTCTAAAATCATTCCAGTTTTACTACTTTGAGTTTCCAATGGTATATCACATTGATGTCTTGATTTGTTTCATTTTGAGAGGGTAAAACAATTTTTAACCAAAGGATTAACACAATTCAAAAATTGTGCAGGATGAGTGTACTTCTCCCTCAATTTTCTTCAATTATTCCGGAATCTCGAATTATCCCAGAATTCCGGATTTGTGAGGCTAAATATTTTTCAGCTCTGGATTCCCGAAGTTTTATTTTCTCTCGCTCCGGATTCACCAGTTCAGTTTATTCAAATACAAATTCTAGGCTTTCAAAAAAAAAAATCAACGTATCAGAACGCACGAAAGCCTATTCAGCAAGAAGCTGGTTTGCTATAAATAATAATAATAATAATAATAAAGTTTATTTGAAAAACACGCTTCATCCCCAAAAGCTCAAAGCGCGGTACAAAGTCAACCATATTATAAAGAGAAATAAAAACAATCTAAAATTTACCACATTTAAAAAACAGACGCAACAATACAAAACTACATATGAGCATACCAAGTCAAAGTCTTTCATCCAATTTTAACCATAAGCAACACAAGCCAATATGCATTAACTGAAAAAAGATGGTAGATAGCATCAACCTAGAAGGTGTTTGCGAAATAGATGTGTTTTAAATCAGTTTTAAAAGACTCCAGTGTCTGGCTGTTTCTGAGAGCGACTGGAAAGGCGTACAAAATTGTTGGGCCAGCAAATGCAAAAGTGCGCTTTCAGTAAGTCTCAAGGCGAACACACAGTATCAATATTTTGCCACCATCGCATGAGCAGAGCTGTCTAGTGGGTACATAAGGCGTCAAGAGTGCTTTGAGATAAGACGGCGCGAGGTCATGTAAGCCGCCGTAGTACAAAGTTGTAATTTTGTACTCTATGCGAGCGCGGACCGGCAGCCAGTGCAGCTCTCTCAGAAATGTTTTAGCATGGTCTAATTTGCGTTTGCAAAGAACAATGCGAGCCGCATTATTCTGTGCTCTTTGAATTTTATCCAGGAGCGTAGCTGGGAGACCCACCATGAGAGCATTGCAGCAGTCCATACGTGATAACACAAATGCAGACATCAGCCTCTTTGATGCATCTAACGTTAAGAAAGGTCTGATATGACTAATCCTGCGCAGCTCTAGAAAAATCACCTTGCAAAGCATGTTAATGTGATTTTCCATAGTTAGTGTTCTGTCTAAATAGACACCCAGGTCTCGCACTGTATGAGCAAACTCAATCAGCATACCTGAGAGAGTAAGTGATGTTGTGTTTTTTACAGATAGAACAGGTACTCAGACCTCCCGCTTTTGTTTGCAAGCCTGTGCTTCGTCCCCAGTTATTAGTTTTGTGGATAAATATATGCATATATGATGTAAACATTGCACAAGAAATTATTTCTACAGTGTATGAATTTTATGAGTTTCGTTAAGTTTCAGGGTTTGAAAAATTTTTAAATGGAGTTTCCGGTTTCAAGAAATTTTTAGAAAGGGATTTCAGGGTTCACAGCTTTCAGTGAGTGGCACCCATGTCTCAGTACTATGTATTCATTACGTTACAGTACATTGATAACTGGTTTGGACTAAAGAAAACTCAAAGTCTAATGTAGATGTTTAAAGAATTATTTAAAAAATTTAATTTATTTCCCATCAGTTTAAATTATTTTTGAACACTTGAAACTTTTTTTCTAATATCAAGATTATTGACAAATTTACCCTCCCCCCCCCCCTATGTCAGGCGCAGTTGTTCGCATGGAAATTTTAATTTTGTATTTGAATTGGTATTTAACCAAACAAATTTAGAAAAACTACTTTTTATACTCTTTTTTTAAAATCATTTAAAGCTGCAACTCTGTTGGTTGGTGTAAAGACGCCTCAAATCTGTTAATACAATACGTTTCACATGAGATCCTCTTAGTCCAGCTAAAGGTGTAGTGGGTGCAGCTCTGAGCTGCCAACATTTTGTTCATTTTGTCCTGAGACCTTCTCTAACTAACTTTAACCTTATTTGGAAATATAATGTGGTCGGGCTGTGTGTATGTGTCTGTTACATTAGACATTAGATAAACATGAGATAAGCCGGAGCAATATGCCAATTGTAAAACATATTAATCTATGCTATTCAATAAAGGTGTCTTTTTTTTCTATGCTATTCAATAGAGGTAGTTTTTTTTTCTATGCTATTCAATAGAGGTTTTTTTTTTTTTCTATGCTCCAATAGACCTTTTCAGGTCTGCATTGAAATATGCAATAATTATATAAATTAAATAGAAACAAGAAACAAAAAAAAAAAAAAATATAAAAAAATTTTTTTTTTTTTTTTTTTTTTTCAATTTAGTTTTTTTTTTTTTTTTTTTTTTTTAATTGAGGTTTTTTTTTTTTTCTATGCTCCAATAGACCTTTTCAGGTCTGCATTGAAATATGCAATAATTATATAAATTAAATAGAAACAAGTAGCAACAAAAAAAAAATATATAAAAAATACTCATCTAAAACAAAAGTCTCAAAGCTTGCAAAGTTAAACTGAAGTAAAATTATCTGGGTTTCATCTCATTTACCTATCAATTATTTTAATAACTCCACATAAAGCCAGTTCTTATCTAGTCATATTACCATTCAACGTAAAGTTTACATTAACTGCCATTGTAAGACCCTTGATCCTATGAATGACAGATAAAAAAGTTAAGCCCTGTAGAGAGCTATAAAATGAATAAGTACAGGTCTTTGAGTTCCTAACACATATTCAAAGAGCCATCAATAAATGTACTTCAAATACAAAAGAAAATCAATCCTCTTTCTGTATGGCCTATCTGCCCCACTTATTCATTTGGTTGTGTTTGACGGTTGCCTGCAGTCTATAGCAACTGCACAGAGATTATTCCTTTGTGCCTAGCTTAGTTTCCCTAATACATTAATTTATGTGAAAGTCGCAGCTAATCTTCAGATATAAATATGAACAGGAAAAATTACTGTGGCAGAAATTGTTGAACAAAATAATAACACACTGTAAAAGAATAATGAGCTGATTTTACTCAATCACACATTCACCCTTAATTTTTAATATATATCTATATATATCTATCTATCTATCTATATCTATATCTATATATCTATCTATATATATATATATATATATATATATATATATATATATATATATTTATTTCTCTATATCTATATATATATATATATATATATATATATATATATATATATATATATATATATATATATATATTATTCCCATCCCCTTGTCTCCTGGTGCTACCCATGGTGCTAAGCTACTCATGGTTCTAAGACTTACTTTTAGTTTTCCAAAAAAATCTACTTACTATGGATATATGAAACAAACAAAAAAGTATTGTTAGTTTAGTAAATAATATTTTTTTAATGTGAAAAGGTTGATATGAATCTGTCACCAACCATTGTATTTGGTATAACTTCAGTCCTCTGGTCATACTTTGTTACTTACAGGTGAGCATCCCGCCAGTGTCACAGCGACCCCCACTATGGAACCAGCCCCTCACCATGATCACAGACCAAGATATGTACAACACCTATACATCCCATTATGGGGCCGTGCACGGTCTGCCACACATCTCCTATGCCACCTCTTCCCCCCAACCCACCGCCACGTGGACCCACACAAACCTGACGCAGCCTCCGCCTCCTGTGCCCAGACCTCCTCTCAGGTCAAGGCCGCTCAGTGCAGGTGCTGCTCGCAGAAATGTACAGAATATTCCCATAGTTGGACCAGCCATGGCCAGGACATGTGAGTACTTAAATGTATTATTCTGTGGCTCAGTTCATGAATGCCTTTGTTTTTCATAAGCGTCTTTCATTATTGTAATGCAATTTATGATGGGTTAAACCACCCCACTGATTTAACCCCTCTATCCTGCAGCTGTAGTTGGTGGATGGGTTGCTCAGCCAATGTCAAGGACAAGTTCTATTCCTGACCTACAAGAAAAGGTTTGAAATCTTTAATAATATATAATAATATAATTCTTTAATGTGTTAATTTAAAAAAAAAAAAAATCTCAAAAGTTCATCAAGGTAACATACTTTGTATTTTATTACATTCTGATTAACTCTATTTCATTTGAATGGATGTTGCTTAGATTTTGAAACTGTTGCTTTATTTTTTGATAGGATCAGAGACTAGCTCAGATGTCTGAAGAAATGAACAGGCTGCGAGGTTTCGAGTTTGAATCTTTTCGCAAGGATGCACTTATACAACAGCTGCAACAACAGATAGGGGAACTCCAGGTATTTACAGTACCAGCTGTGTCACAAGTCTATGTATCAATAGCTTTGGTCCTACCAAAATGTTTTACAAGTCTATGTAGCAATAGCTGTAGTACTACCAATTGTGTTACAAGCCTATCTAACAATATATGTGATCCTAACAGTAAGGTTACCACAGCTGGGATAAATCTGGACAAAAAATGCCATTTTTTTGTATAATAATAATTGTCTATGCATTTGTCTTATCTACCATTATAGAACCAATCATTGTCTATTCATTTGTTTTACCTGCCTTTATAGAACCAATCATTGTCTATTCATTTGTTTTACCTGCCATTATAGAACCAATCATTGTCTATTCATTTGTTTTACCTGCCATTATAGAACCAATCATTGTCTATTCATTTGTTTTACCTGCCTTTATAGAACCAATCATTGTCTATTCATTTGTCTTACCTGCCATTATAGAACCAATCATTGTCTATTCATTTGTTTTACATGCCATTATAGAACCAATCATTGTCTATTCAGTTGTCTTATCTACCATTATAGAACCAATCATTGTCTATTCATTTGTCTTACCTGCCATTATAGAACCAATCATTGTCTATTCATTTGTTTTACTTGCCATTATAGAACCAATCATTGTCTATTCATTTGTTTTACCTGCCATTATAGAACCAATCATTGTCTATTCATTTGTCTTACCTGCCATTATAGAACCAATCATTGTCTATTCATTTGTCTTACCTGCCATTATAGAACCAATCATTGTCTATTCATTTGTCTTATCTACCATTATAGAACCAATCATTGTCTATTCATTTGTCTTACCTGCCATTATAGAACCAATCATTGTCTATTCATTTGTCTTATCTACCATTATAGAACCAATCATTGTCTATTCATCTCAGAAATATCCAGACACTGGAGTCCTTTAAAACCGATTTAAAGACACATTTATTTCGCAAGCACCTTCTGGGATGATTGTCTACCATATTTTCCATTTAATGCATATTAGCTGTGTTGCTCACGGTTGAAATGGGTTGAAAGACTTTGACATTGTATGCTTGTAATTAGTTTTTGTAGTGTTGCGTTTGTTTTAAATGTGGTAAATTATAAATTTGTTTTTTTTTGACTTTGTACAGCGCTTCGAGCCTTTGGGGATGAAGCGTGTTTTTGAAATGAACTTTATTATTATTATTATTATTTGTTTTACCTGCCATTATAGAACCAATCATTGTCTATTCATTTGTCTTACCTGCCATTATAGAACTAGTCATTGTCTATTCATTTGTCTTATCTACCATTATAGAACCAATCATTGTCTATTCATGTGTCTAATCTACCATTATAGAACCAATCATTGTCTATTCATTTGTTTTACCTGCCATTATAGAACCAATCATTGTCTATTCATTTGTCTTACCTGCCATTATAGAACTAGTCATTGTCTATTCATTTGTCTTAACTGTCCTTATAGAACCAATCATTGTCTATTCATTTGTCTTACCTGGCATTATAGAACCAATCATTTGTCTTACCTGGCATTATAGAACCAATCATTTGTCTTACCTGGCATTATAGAACCAATCATTTGTCTTACCTGGCATTATAGAACCAATCATTTGTCTTACCTGGCATTATAGAACCATTAGTGAGTTGGGTTTCTTCTATTTTATTTTAAATTTTCATTCTTGGTTTTTCATATTTGTTTGCTGATGGCTGCTTGTTTCCAATACATTCATTGTTCTGTTTTATATCAATTCAAGATTTTGCAAACCTTGTGCCGTGTAAATCATCTACACATTGCTGTCCTGTATAAGTCATCTACATATTGCTGTCCTGTATAAACCATCTACACATTGCTGTCCTATATAAGTCATCTACACATTGCTGTCCTGTATAAGTAATATACACATTGCTGTCCAGTATAAGTCATCTACACTGTGCTGTCCAGTATAATTCATCTACACACTGCTCTCATGTATAAATCATCTACATTTTGCTGTCCTTTATAAGTCATATACAGTTTGCTATCCGGTATAATTCATCTACACACTGCACTCATGTATAAATCATCTACATATTGCTGTCCTGTATAAGTCATCTACCCATTTCTGTCCTGTATACATTATATACACATTGCTGTCCTGTATTAGTCATCTACAAATGGCTTTCCTGTATAAACCATCTAGACATTGCTGTCCTTTATAAGTCATATACACATTGCTGTCCTGTATTAGTCATCTACAAATTGATGTGCTGTATAAACCATCTATACATTGCTGTCCCGTATAAGTCATCTACACTTTGCTTTCCTGTATAAGTCATCTACACATTGCTTTCTGTATAAATTATCTACACATTTCTGTCCTGTATAAATTATATACACATTGCTGTCCTGTATTAGTCATCTACAAATGGCTTTCCTGTATAAACCATCTAGACATTGCTGTCCTTTATAAGTCATATACACATTGCTGTCCTGTATTAGTCATCTACAAATTGATGTGCTGTATAAACCATCTACACATTGTTGTCCTGTATAAGTCATCTACACATTGCTGTCCTGAATAGCGGTTTGTGGAAGGAATAGGACTTTAAATAAAACTCTTTGTTTAATTTTAGAATAAGATACGCCAGGAACCTTCAATAATAATGGGAGGAGACATGGATTTATCAGCCAAATTGTTGCATCTTGAGACTGAAGTCAGTGCCAAGAAGGGAGAAATTGCCGTCCTCAAGGAACAGGTACTTTTTCTTGTCCCTGTCCTCAAGGAACATGTACTTTTTCTTGTCTCCATTCTCAAGGAACAGGTACTTTTTCTTGTCTCCGTCCTCAAAGAACAGGTACTTTTTCTTGTTTCCATCCTCAAGGAACAGGTACTTTTTCTTGTCTCCGTCCTCAAGGAACAGGTACTTTTTCTTGTCTCCGTCCTCAAGGAACAGGTTTTTTTTCTTGTCACCATCCTCAAGGAACAGGTACTTTTTCTTGTCTCCGTCTGCAAATTATTTTCATCCTTGGAGACCTCTATTGGCTTCTATTTAAAATAAAAATATTTGTGTCCATCTCCAGTTTATTTTTCGCCCATTTTCATGGACAATTTGAAATGGTTTTTTAAAAGGACTTTGTTTTTTTGTCAGTCCTGATGGCATAGAAATGTTTTTGTCAGTCCTGATTTCATTGAAATGTTTGGATTACAGCTGAACAAACTTCAAGATGACAGAGCCAACAGTCCTCAACTTCTTCGGCAAGAGCTCGGGGAACGAGTCAAAGAAATCTCCCATTTGAGGAACGAGTTGGAAAAAGTCAAGAAAGATAAAAATATCACATCAGGGCTTGTGACACAGATGCAGCGGGACATGTCAAATAAGGTCAGTCAAAGGTTGTAAAACTAAGATAATAGTAGTACTGGTCAATTCTCTACTAATGGTCAGATGATAGTGCGACTAGTCAAATGTCTTCTGTATGCCAGATAATAGTGAGACTAGTCAAACGTCTTCTGTAGGTCAGATGATAGTAACTAGTCAAATGCCTTCTGTATGGCAGATGATAGTAGGGCTAGTCAAATTTCTTTTGTATGCCAGATAATAGTGGGACTAGACAAATTTCTTCTGTATGCCAGATAATAGTGGGACTAGTCAAATGTCTTCTGTATGCCAGATAATAGTGGGACTAGTCAAATGTCTTCTGTATGCCAGATGATAGTGAGACTAGTCAAATGTCTTCTGTATGCCAGATAATAGTGGGACTAGTCAAATGTCTTCTGTATGCCAGATAATAGTGGGACTAGTCAAATGTCTTCTGTATGCCAGATGATAGTGAGACTAGTCAAATGTCTTCTGTATGCCAGATAATAGTGGGACTAGTCAAATGTCTTCTGTATGCCAGATAATAGTGGGACTAGTCAAATGTCTTCTGTATGCCAGATAATAGTGGGACTAGTCAAACATCTTCTGTATGCCATATAATAGTGGGACTTGTCAAATGTCTTCTGTATGCCAGATGATAGTGGGACTAGTCAAACATTTTCTGTATGCCAGGTGATAGTGGGACTAGTCAAACATCTTCTGTATGCCAGGTGATAGTGGGACTAGTCAAACATCTTCTGTATGCCAGGTGATAGTGGGACTAGTCAAACATCTTCTGTATGCCAGGTGATAGTGGGACTAAACATGTTTTTCCCACCAAGGTCTGACATGTACAATCAGATGATTTTTCATGTTAATAAAATACAAACTACTCAAGTAGAGACAAAAATCAGAGGAGGCTACAGCTAAATGTCTCTTTCCCATATTTGTACTTTGTTTATGTAGTTTATTTGCTACATAGCATCTTCAACTGTTTAAATTTCTAGTGTTCAGAATGTAGCTTTGAAGAAATTGCTGAGAAGGTAATATTTTGTGTTTTAGTATGTTTTCTACACTGAATATGTCTCATCACCTCATTAAGTAATAGGTCACAAACTCAATCTGTCTCATTTAAGAAGTAGGTCACAAACTGAATATGTCTCATTTAAGAAGTAGGTCACAAACTGAATATGTCTCATTTAAGAAGTAGGTCACAAACTGAATATGTCTTATCATCTTATTAAGAAACAAGTCACAAACTGAATATGTCTTATCATCTTATTAAGAAACAAGTCAAAAACTGAATATGTCTTATCATCTTATTAAGAAACAAGTCACAAACTGAATATGTCTTATCATCTTATTAAGAAAAAGTCACAAACTGAATATGTCTTATCATCTTATTAAGAAAAAGTCACAAACTGAATATGTCTTATCAACTTATTAAGAAACAAGTCACAAACTGAATATGTATTATCATCTTATTAAGAAACAAGTCACAAAATGAATATGTCTTATCATCTTATTAAGAAACAAGTCACAAACTGAATATGTCTTATCACCTTACTAAGAAAAAGGTCACAAACTGAATATGTCTTATCAATTTGTTCAGAAATAAGTCACAAACAGAATATGTCTTATCAATTTGTTCAGAAATAAGTCACAAACAGAATATGTCTTATCAACTTATTAAGAAACGGGTCACAAATGATTTCATAAAAAATGTTTTAGCTTTCACTAGAGTGTTAATTTTATTTCACAAGTGTGTTGTGTAGCTTCATCCATGTTGACGGATCACAATCATTCTAAATGGATCACTTCTTACCCCCAATCATGCTGATGGATAACTGCTTAGCCCCATCCAAGCTGATAGATCATATTATGTTTATTTCAAATTCATAACAAATAATAATTTGTCAATAAATTTAACTACATCATCTAAACTTAACAAGCAACTGTCGTGGCTGGAATGCTGAGATAGTTACATCATCATGATGATCATTTCAAGATAGTTGGGTTGATCTCCATTCTTTGGAGATTTTTTTAGGGTAAAACGGTGCTGCTTTCCCTTTAATTTCAAATAACGTGTTTGTAGCTTTTTCTTGTATTGACTCCACACAATCACCAGACAATCACATGCATATTTTGATCCCAACACTCACATTATGTTTGCATCAAGTTGGTCAATCAACATGTAAATTTGCTATCAAATTTTTTATACATATTTTTTAATTGGCTACAATTCTTTTCTTTTAACAAAAGACATCACAAAATTGTAGCCATTGACCATCAGTTAAGAGATGTCACTCCAGAGTGAAAAGTTTTATGACAAAATCCACCCTTTTGAACTGACATGTAATGTAACTTTATCTACCAGACAGTTATAAAATCACTTACTTGGCTAGCTTAAATGACAATAGTGAGGACATTTTTCTGATAATAATTTATATGAACATACTGACTACTAAGAGTCTAACTTTTGTCTGTCTCATTCTAGGATGGTACCATCAGTCGATTGACTCGAGAGATTGAAGTCCTTAAAAAAGATGTAAGGGAAAAAGATGTTCAACTCACAGCCAACTCTGCCAAGGTAAATAGTGTTAGAATGTTAACATTTGGTCTTTGTCTCATTAGGATGTTAACATTTGTTATTTAAATAATTGGGATGTTAACATTTGGTCTTAGTCTCATTAGGATGTTAACATTTGTTATTTAAATAATTGAGATGTTAACATTTGGTCTTAGTCTCATTAGGATGTTAACATTTGTTATTTAAATAATTGAGATGTTAACATTTGGTCTTAGTCTCATTAGGATGTTAACATTTGTTATTTAAATAATTGAGATGTTAACATTTGGTCTTAGTCTCATTAGGATGTTAACATTTGTTATTTAAATATTTGGGATGTTAACATTTGGTCTTTGTCTCATTAGGATGTTAACATTTTTTCTTTAAATAATTGGGATGTTAACATTTGGTCTTAGTCTCATTAGGATGTTCTTTAAATAATTGGGATGTTACCATTTGGTCTTTGTCTCATTAGGATGTTAACATTTGTTATTTAAATAATTGAGATGTTAACATTTGGTCTTAGTCTCATTAGGATGTTAAAATTTGTTATTTAAATAATTGGGATGTTAACATTTGGTCTTTGTCTCATTAGGATGTTAAGTTAACATTTGCTCAGTGTTGACAGAGGAGTCAATATTTAGTATTGTTCAATGTTTATGTAGACTAATAATGTTTTGTTGTTGAATTAATAACTTATCATAGTTTAGTGAGTTCTAGAATACCGTACTTCTCTTCTCATTTACAGATTATGAACTAAAATCTATTAAAAAAAATCTTGCTCCACTCTAACTGACCACTGTAACTGAGCATTTTAATTAACCACTGCCACTGACCACTAACTGATTACTGTAACTGACCACTGTTACTGATCACTGTAACTGAGCATTTTAATTGACCACTGACCACTGTGACTGACCACTGTAACCAACATCAGAAACTGACCACTGTAACTGATCACTGTAACTGATCACTGCAACTGACCACTCTATTGTGACAAAACAATCATGTGACTCCTCATGACCTATCTATATCATCACATATTCATCACCACTGGCCTCATCTTTGACACTTCACCACTGGCCTCATCTTTGACACTTCACCACTGGCCTCATTTTTGACACTTCACCACTGGCCTCATCTTTGACTAGGATAAATTAAAGATAACTTTTTATTTTAAAATAGAACTATTTTTGTAAATCTAAACATTAAAAAAAAAAAAAAACACTTTCTTTGCATTGTGCACATTTGCTTGAAATGCTTGGATTTTAACAGTTGTTTTGATTTAATTGCATTGTTTTAAACATTATTTGCACATTGCTACATTATTGATGCACCACATTGCTATTTATTGGTGCAACACTTTAATATGAATGGAAGCATCCAGCCACAAGCAATATTTTCTCAAAGTTGAAATAAATAATATTGTTTTAATTTCTCCCTGGCCCAATTTTGATTTATTATTACCATAACAATCTGATTAACTACCATAACAATTTGAAGGTTTACCAAAAGTTATTGACAGAGAATCAATTAAACATGAACGAGACTTAAATATTAGAATATAATTTATTGTATTAACCAATGTCTTTGATTAACTTCCCCTGACTGTTTGAATGTTCCATCATAAAGGAAATACCTCCCTATCTAAGGCTTGTTGGTGGGGTAAGAGGTTCTAGACATATTTGCCAGCAGTCACCATAACATTAGTCTGCTAACAATTGGTACATTTCTTGAAATTCGAGGATTGTTTTTGTTAAATTCAGTCACAGTCCAATGAACCGTAAAGTTCAATGATTTTGTGTTTCACATAGAACTGTACCAAGGAAAACTAAACTTCATTCTAATTAAAAAAATATTATTTTTTTTTTACTAATCAACAATATTTACCTTTTTTGGTAACATTCTAACAAATTAATACAACATCTTTTCTGTAGATAATACTAAAATTTTTCTCTCTCAAAATAACATGCAATGTATTATGTCCTTCATATATTGTGTGTTTTATTTCTTATGTCCTTTATATATTGTATGTTTTATTTCTTACTTATGTCCTTCAGATATTGTGTGTTTTATTTCTTATGTCCTTCATATATTGTGTGATTTATTTCTTATGTCCTTTATAGGCCTATATTGTGTGTTTTATTTCTTATGTCCTTCAGATATTGTGTGTTTTATTTCTTATGTTCTTCAGATATTGTGTGTTTTATTTCTTATGTCCTTCATATATTGTGTTTTATTTCTTATGTCCTTCATATATTGTGTGTTTTATTTCTTATGTCCTTTATAGGCCTATATTGTGTGTTTTATTTCTTATGTCCTTTATAGGCCTATATTGTGTGTTTTATTTCTTATGTCCTTCATATATTGTGTGTTTTATTTCTTATGTCCTTCAGATATTGTGTGTTTTATTTCTTATGTCCTTCATATATTGTGTGTTTTATTTCTTTGTCCTTCAGATATTGTGTGTTTTATTTCTTATGTCCTTCATATATTGTGTTTTTTCACCAAAGAAATAATTTTCCCATTCAGACTTTTGTTCATTATTAAGTTGTGGCTGCAAAGCATAGCAACACATAGCACCTTCCTCCTGTTGTGTATAGAGTTAAGGAATCATATATCATTTGTAAAATTAACAGTATATTCTTTATAATGCTTTTCAAGAACCCTTTTTCCTTTTTTCTGTTGTGTCTTCTTTTTTTACAATTTTGTATATCAACTAAGGCCATGTGTAATGTCATAACATTTTTTTAAAAATGTTTTAGATATAACAGTTTAATATCTTGTTTACATATTAAAAATACATGCCAGGTATACTTATATTATTAGCTTTCTAATACTTCTGTGTGCAAACATAACACAATCTTGTTCATACAGCGTTTCAGTATTTTAGTCGAATGTATCATAGATGAAAAGCTTGAGTCTCTCTAGGAAGAAATGGATCTGACTTTTTGATATTTCTGTTTTAAATGCAATTATAAACTTTTTAAAATGATCATCTCTCTTTAGTTTCCTCTGATTCCTCGAAAGAACTTTCATTTTAATTATATTATCTTTCTTAGATCTTATTTTAAAATGACATTATTTTTTTATTAATATTGTGTTCATTGTAGGTTATTCCCACATTTTACAATAGAGCAAACCTCAATACCTTAATTAAAGCTTCTTAATTTAATTACATTCAAGATTCGTTCAAGTTTATTAGTCATCATTCAGAAATAGGTGAAAGAAAAAATCAGAAATTTTAACAGAACTAGAAAGGAAATGAAAGGCTATGTTTACAGAACTAGATAGAAAATTTAAGGAAATGTTAATGGAACTAGGTAGAAAACATACAGAAATATTAACATGACTAGATAGAAAACATACAGAAGTGTTAACAGAACTAGACTGAAAACAGGAAATATTAACAGAACTAGATAGGAATATTAAGTATTGGTTTACAGAACTTGATAAAAAATTTAAGGAAATGTTAACAGAACTAGATAGGAAATGTAAGTATATGTTTACAAAACTAGATGGAAAATTTAAGTCAGAACTACTTATTGTTAAAAATGAGGAAATTTATAATCGTTATATACGATTCATGTGGAATTTTTATGAACACAGAAAAACAGGGATTCCCCAAAAGCTGTCGAAGAGACAAATGCTAGAGAAAAAGAACTAATCTCACTCAGACAGGTAATCAAATATTTTAGAAAATCTTTGGTTTAACATTTTTTTCCATGAGAATTGAAGGGAAAAGTCCAACCTGAAAATATTTTGTCTAGTTTTTTGTCAACATAAATTGTCATGGAGTTTTGTGTTATGAAAATACATAATTGTATAATTAGTAAAAGTATAGAATTCTTTAAAAATTGCATGTGCTAGCAGCAATTTATATAGTAGCAAATAGTTACAACTTGGAATTGGACAGTTTATAATAAATTCAATCAGACCTGACGAATACATGGATGCTATTACAGATGTTTACATTATTGCTATTCATCGTTCTGTTTATGCAGAAATTTAAGACTGCAGAAAGTAAAATACAAGAACAAGCTGACCTCATCACAGCTCTACGAGAGGAACTGGACAAGTCTAAGACTCTAATCTTGTCAGAGAAAGATGCACAACGCACAATTCAGAGCGAGCTTGACACTGCCAGAAATCAAGTTCATGACGTTCAGAGGACAGAAAGGACGGTCAGGGTTGATCTGGAACAGTCTCAGAAGAGGGTCAGTCATTTAAAAAAAAAATCAGGTTTATTTATAACAACTGTATGAGAACCCTCCTTTTTGCCAATACTTCCAAACCCGTCTGAACACATGAAGATTTTCTTTCAAAAGTTGAGAAAGTCATCCTTGATTTTAATTATGGAACAAAACTTGAAATGAAAATATTCAATAAATAATCTGTACCAAATATTTTAAAATTTCAGTTTGAGAGATTTAGATCTCGGGTGTTTCAAGTAACTTTCTCAACTCCCGGAGTTAAAGCCCCTGAAAAAGAACTCTCTGATGATGAAGTAATAGAATCTTTGAAGAAACTTATTGAAGAAAGAGCAAAACTGATCTCTAACATCAAAGAGCTTGAAGCAAATGTCACAATTGCCCATTCAGGAAAAGATGAGCTTCTTAAGCATGCAGAGAAGCTGAAAGAGGTTTTGGACTCATCTGTGGTAAGTGCAGGAAGGCAGTTCTCATATTCTTATCTATTACTGTGGCCTTCAATTGTAAGTTGTCATAGTTGACTCTATACTGTAGTCTTCAATTGTATGTTTTCATAGTTGACTCTATTACTGTAGCCTTCAATTGTAAGTTTTCATAGTTGACTCTTTTACTGTAGCCTTCAATTGTAAGTTGTCATAGTTGACTCTATACTGTAGTCTTCAATTGTAAGTTTTCATAGTTGACTCTATTACTGTAGCCTTCAATTGTAAGTTGCCATAGTTGACTCTATTACTGTAGTCTTCAATGGCAAGTTGCCATAGTTGACTCTATTACTGCAGTTTGCTTTTATCTTCATATTTCTTATTTGCATTAAATAAGTTAAAATAAATTGTGAGCTTAAGTGATCTAATTATAATGGTCTAAGTATGGTTTCTTGACATGTGCAGAAACGACTGAAGGACAATGGCAGACTTGAAGTGTCTCTGAGGCAGGAGCTGAGCATTATTCAGTCTGTTGGAACTGAGGAGTCCCTCATATGGATACGGGACCTGTTACTGGAGACCTTGACCTCTGAGCTGGAATGGGAGCTTAAAATAGAACAAGCTCTGGAGAAATGTGGAGTTAATCTGAAGATCACAACAGATGGTAAAGATTTTTTTTTCATTTTTCACCATTGTGGACTTACTTGTCATGCAGATTATCAAAACTGGTCACAAACTATTCTTCCTTCAAATTAATTAAATAATTTAGTATATTTATTAAATCTGGGTCTGTTTCAGAGTGACCAACACATGTGGGATACTACAACATGTAGGCTTTTTAAACTTGGGAGTGGGGGAGGGGGGCGGTTGAAGACTGTGGAGGTGACAAGGAAGGCAACTTTTTGTAATTCTGGGGAAGGGGTTTGAAAAGTGAGGCAGTATTCCTCACAGCTGAGACACTAAGTTGAAGACTGTGGTAATTTAAGATAAGATAAGATTCTTTTTTTGAACCTATTAAATGGATTATTAATTTTTGATCACATTGTAAATATTCATTTTCAGCACATAAATTAATACATATTTTAACCAAGACAACATTTTATAATTATAGCAATTTAAACACAAGACATCTAAAGTATCTCTCTCGCATAAAAATCAACACAAAAAAAAAAAAAGAAAGGAAAAGAGATTGTTTGTCTGAGCATATATTCTATTTAAAGAACACTCTTGACATTTTCTCTTAATTTGCATTTCAATTAGTATAGCTAAAGATAAGTTTAATATTTTAATATATTCCATAGATCATAGATTATTGTATAAATTTGTTTCAGTCCCAGTTGTCATTTAGTAAAGATCTTCGGGTAGATAATTGGGTAAATCTTCAGGTAGATCTTAAGATAGAATATCTCAATAAACATAGATTATTGTGTTCATTAGATCCTAAAACATCCCTGTAAAACATACAATATAATAATCATAAGATCCCAACACATCCCTGAAAAAACATAGATTATTGTATTTTTTAGATCCCGGCAAACACATTGAGGCCTTGTATTCCCGCTGGGAGTCATCACTCAGTGAGACAGAGAAGCTCAAGGCACAGATCGCTTCACAGGTGGAGTCCTACAAGTCAGAGCTGGAGGTCCAGATGAATGCTCTCACTGCAGAGATGGAGGCCAAGGTTCAAGATGCTGTGGAGAAAACCAAACTAGAAGGCAATCCTTTGTTTTGTCTGTTTGTTTTGGGGTTTGTTTTGTGTGTCTCATTTGTGTTTGTTGAACTAAAAGTAAAATTTCTTTTTAAATTTCTTTTGATTCATCAGAAAAAAAGGCAAGTTATTATTTTAAATGTCACCAGAGTAGCTGCCCTTGCCCCTATTTCCTCATGTTCTTACTCATGTTCTTCATGATTAAATCTAACCCTAACATTTGACTTAAATTAGTAACGCAATGGATAATTGATTAAATCAACAACAAAATGATGTTCATGATGTACAAAATCAAATTTTTTGCAGGAACCTTGTGTACAAAATAGAGTAAAACATAAGAAAATAAATTATAACATAAGCTTGCTCCCCAAAGTTATTTTATTTGTAAATAATTACTTTTCATCGATTGAAACAAACATGTTTGGATGCCTTAATCTAAAATAAAAACATCAGAGATATTTGTATTTACATGTCACTGTAGGTCACTGTTGGTCACTGTTGGCATTCCCACAGAATGAAAACAATAAATATTTCTCTGATTTTAACAGGTGAAAGAAAACTGAACCAAGCTATTGATGAAATTAGGGCAGTGGAAACATCAAAGAGAGAAAGTCTCATTGAAGCAGAGAGGAGGAAGATTCATGAATTAGAGGCTTCTCTGGAGCAGTTGAGAGGGGTAGGTTGATAGATGTGTGGAGCAGTGGAGATGGGTAGTTTGGGGTGATCTATAACAAAGGGTTGCAAAGTTGTGAGGGGGGGGTTAGATTTACCTATAACAAATGAGTTGCAGGTCTGAGAGTAGGTTGATCTATGACAAATAAGTTGCAGGTCTGGAGGTAGGTTTGATCTATGACAAATGAGTTGCAGGTCTGAGGCTAGGTTGGATCTATGACAAATGAGTTGCAGGTCTGAAGGTAGGTTTCATCTATAACAAATGACTTGTAGGGGTGCAGTGGACGTTTTTTTTAAATGTTACCATAGCAGTGACAATGACACAAACAATATGTAGGTCACAATGACACAGACAATATTTAGGCCATAATGACACAAACAGTATGTAGGTCACAATGACACAGACAATATTTAGGCCATAATGACACAAAAAGTATGTAGCTCACAATGACATAGACCATGTGTTAGTCACAATGATACGAACAGTTTTTAGGTCACAATGCCTCTAACAATATGTAAATCAAAATGATAAAAACAATATGCAGATCAATATGCCTCAAACAATATGTGTATGAACAAGAGTGCCACCACATAGGGGAAGTTACTGTGATCTGACATTCACTTGCGCTTATTCACATTATATGTATATCTATTTTTCAGGCCCTGGCTGAACGCCAGGCTGAAGACCAGGCCAGGTTGGCTGAAGCTTGCGCAGCCTTACAAGAGCTGGAGCAGCTGAGAAACACAGAACAAAAGCTCAAGGAAGAGGTCTTGAAAACTGAGGCTTTACGATCTGATGAGGCTGAAAAGGTGGCTCATGGGGAACTATAATTTTTTAAAATTCTCTGTTAATTTTTAAATCCAGTAGCTTATTATACATTGACTGGAAAAGTATTTTCAGTTTGCCTAAGTAAATCATTGTCCATTTGAAAAATACTACTTTTGGAATCTTAAAATATTGAATTCTAACCTAAATGATTTATTGTAATTCTGACTTATCTTCTAATGTAGCAATCTGACACGGTGTCTCTAATAAAGGATTCTTAATTGGTCTGTCTTCCAAAGAGAATCTTACTTTGTCTTTCTTCTATAAATGTACTAGAATGGTCTTCCTTTCACATGGATTCAGACATTGTCTTTCAATTATAGGGCTTAGGCATTCTGACCTAGTCTGTTCTCTTTCTTAATAACTATTCTTTTTGCTACAGGAGCAGACATCTACTGGGAACTGGAACTGATTAATTCTATGACTAACATTAAGATGTATATGGTTTCAAAGATTGATGCTTGTGTTCTTGATATGGTTTCAAAGATTGATGCTTGTGTTCTTGATATGGTTTCAAAGATTGATATTGGTGTTCATGATATGGTTTCAAAGATTGATATTTGTGTTCAGGATATGGTTTCAAAGATTCATGCTTTTGTTCTTGAAGGATTTTCTTTAAAACAATGAATACTTTTCCAGTTCTCTGTTGAAAAATCTGGACTTGTTGAAAAGTTTGAGTCTGATCTGTCAACATACAAGGAACAAATAAAGCAACACTCTGTCACAATCTGTACCATGGAGGAAAGGGTGGATAAGCTGATGAAGAAAAATAAAGATTATCAAGAACAGATAAATAGTAAGTCGTAGGATGACCTCCCTTGCTGTCATTTCTATCTCCTGTTAATAGTTGGAAGATTTAATGAGATTATGTTAATCCAGAGATATTTAGTTAAAAATAAATTATGTAATTGTTTTAATGGATGATGTTATCACCTGTGGATGTTTGTGTGTAAATCCAACAGAATTGAAGTCAGATAAATCCAAGCCGTCCTTACCGCCGAAGCCAAAGGTCATCATACAGAGACCAACGGATGAACTGACAGCCCTAGAGCATGTCGTTAATGCCCTCAGGTATTCTCATATAAATATTTTGTCGTTCCCAATATATTAAGCAAAGTAATGGACCAGTAAAACAAACTGCAGAGAACAGTGACCGGAGACCAGGGACCAGAGACCAGGGACTAGAGACCTGGGACCAGAGCTTGTAATTTATATAAAGCTTATGCTCAAGTAGATAAATCTTATCAAGTTATTTAAGATAAATATGTGGCTATTTTAAATATGTGTGTCCTTTTTCCTCTGCCAGACAAGAGAACACAGTGCTCAAGAAAGAGATCAGGGACTCTCAAGATTGCATCAAGGGTCTTAGACGTGACCTCTCAGGGGCTTCAGCTCGACTGTCTGACATTTCTGGGGAGATGAGTGAATCCCAGAAACAAGAGATGGAGAGAAACCGTGACCTGCTGCAGCAGAGGGCCACAGAACTGACAGAACTGAGGCAGCAGATGGCCAAGCTGACAAGGATTATTGACACACAGAAGGAAGAAATCAAAAAGTTGGAAGCAGGACTGAAGTAGGTTTTGTAATCAAATCAATTTGTTTCATGTCTTCATGATGTAATTAACTTTTTATGAATGTCTTTCATGAGGTATTCCATGTCTGTTATGAGCTGTTGCTTGTCTGTCATGAAGTGTCATGTGATCAAAAGAAGCAACATTTAACCATGTGCTGTTTTGACAAACCTTCTACCATCTCTGCTGTTTTGACAAACCTTCTACCATCTCTGCTGTTTTGACAAACCTTATACCATCCCTGCTGTTTTGACAAACCGTCTACCATCTCTTCTGTTTTGACAAACCGTCTACCATCTCTACTGTCCACCATCTCTACTGTTTCATCAGAAGTTTGACTTTGATGCACATATCTTAACTATTAACCAATGAATTTAAGAAATGCTGCTGCATAATTATTTTTGATTTTTCCATTTTTAGTGTTGAATTTTGTAAATTGTAAAATATTTAATATGATGTACAGGTCAACGAATTAATCATTTATTGAGCTAACCAAAAGTCATAGGTTTAATTAAGTAGGCCTGGTCCATTTGTTTTACTGAATAATGCTTTTTACAAATATGGTATTTAAATATGACTTTGTTATACCATTCTTATAAACCATTGATATTAATTTTACCTAATTTTATTTCTGTTGTGGCACATGCCATTCAATATTTTTAAAATGATTTTTACAATTTATTTGGCTTAACTCTTTCGCTGCGGAATTTTTTTTTATCGAAGACATTTTTATTTTTTTCGAAGAGCCAAAATGAGTGAGAGTTTTGGTTTCTTAAAAAAAATATTTAAAATATTATTCTTTGGTTTATAAGACTAAACTCGGTATCAAATGAAAGATATTTGAAAAGACTATATGTTTGTAAGCTTATTTCTTCAGTTTAAATAAAATAACTTACAGAAAAGAACCATAAAATGTGAAAACATTTTATGCTAAACCATTTTTTCCACAAACCCATTTATGTACGCATCCCTCATCTTCACTTCTATAACTCAAATCCTCTAAAACTACCACTATCGGAATCATGCGATGGATCTAAATATAAATCATCTTCCCTATTAAAAGAAATAGTATTAAACTATTCCAAAGCTTTTTGAGCTGTTAATCGTCTAGGAAACTTATTCACCTACTAGGGCCTAGAGTGGCCATAGCAACAGAATATAAAAAAAGTGAATAAAATCAATAAAATAATGCTTCAAATGACAACAAATAAACCTTGGTTTCACTTATAAACAATGAAATACTAATCTTCTATGTAAAAATCTTATTTAAAAATAGTTCTTAAAAAGTTTAACCGAGAAATAGCAAAGAAACAAACATTATATTGAAATATCGCACAGCGCGTTGGTCTGTGCTTTTGAGAACGGCGGAAGAATGCAGTGTGCGTTGTTCCAATTCGAAAGAGTTAATAGTAACATTGTAACAACCATGTTATCATCACATCTTTAAAAGTAAACATCTTTGTCATTGGAAAACAACAAAATGTTAGAGAGTATCACAATATTTCTATATATATTTAATGAATAGATCTCTACATTTTTTTCTCTTCAGTCCTAGTTTTTAATGACATGAGTTCTGAAGGAATTGTTAGCTATGTTTGAATCCCCTTGATTTTGTTTCAGTAAAGAACAAAGTCTGTCATCAAGGTACAAGCTCAATGTTGATGAATACAGTGGTCATCTGAAGCGTTTGGAAGACGAGTTGGCCCGAGAGAAGGAGGAGCAGAAGAAACAATTGGATCTTATTGAACAGGAGGTGGGGGAAAAATTATCTATGGCTTGATACAATTTTATTTTATAACGTTAAAATAGCAGGTGTTTGGAAGTTGATTTTTTTAAGTTTTGGAAGTAGATGTTTTAAATTTGTTTGAAAGTTGATTTTTTGAAGTTGTTTGGGGTTTGCATAAACATTTGTGATGTAAACTACAATTTCTGAATGACAGATTTTAGAGTTGTCTTCTCGTCAACGTTTAGGGCCGTATCACATCTGAACTTACGAGTCTTGGCGCCCAGTGCAGAGGGGAGAGGCACGAGCAGATTATATCCCGACAGAGAGAGGCTCTGGCTGAACTGAGGGCAAAGGTCAAACTTCTGGAGCAATCAAGGCCATTATGTAGGTCACAATTACTTTATTGTAGAGAGTTTATTGAGTAGCTCTTTAAGAAATTATTTTGAATACATGGTGTTTATGCTGGAAGGATCCCCCCTCATGTACAAAATAAAAATAAAAACTACTTTACTGTACAAAACTTGTGTGTTAGAAAATGTAATCTCTGAATATTCAGTAATAGTCTCCCTTTAATTTGACAAGTTATCAAATTTGAATTAAAAGGAGAACAAATATTTAAAAAAAATTATTGTCATGCTCAAAATACATTTTGTGCACATCAAGGAAATTTTACACACAAACGATTATTTTTTTTTGGTATTGGGGTATAGCAGTAGTAGGCCTATATTTATAATCCATTTTTTTACCCAAAAAGGAAATAATTTCTGGTACCGGTATCTGTGACATGTCTTTAATAGGTGGGGATAATAAAGTAAAGGCTGTGTGGAAAAAGCAAGTACAGGTGTCTCTCTCAGTGTGTCTCACTGTGTCTGCCACTGGCATCATGTCAGTTTTGTCAAGTAGAGCATTTCTTGTTTTAAATTAAATGTTTTTTTTCCTTGTATCTGCCTTGCCCCAGTGCCCACCCAAGATCAGGCCTTGCATCAGGTTTTACTATTGAAGAAAGAGTTGGCGGAGATGAGGGTCAACCAGGCTTATGCTGAGGATAAAATCATCAAGAGTGCCACATCGCTGGACAGGGAGGTCGGCAAGGCTCGTGGTCTCATTACCCCCGCTAACTTTGAGGCAGAAATGGAGAGGAGCGCGCACAGAGAAACGATGGATGCCCTGGATTGCAGTGAGGCTACGGTAAAATATGAAGGATATTATACAAATTTTGATAACAAGTGTCTATATATAGATCAGAGGTCCCCAACAAGTTGCCCAGGTTGCAACCCTTCAAAGTAATTGAATGCAGTTCAGCATACATAGTATACAACATATTCTCTTATATAAATGCACATGTGATATATTTCCAGAAGATTCCTTCCTTTGTATAAACTTGGCTGTTATAAGAGCAATAAATGGGGTAGCTATGAGTAGAGTGGTTGGGGTAGCAATGAGTAGAGTGGCTAATGGACCATTGATACAGATTAACAAAATATATCATGACAGAAATACCATCAATCACAGATTGGTTCTTGCCTCACACTTATAAAAATGTAATCATGATAAATTGATTCCTATTGTTTTCATCACACAGACATTTACTTTAGTTGGTGATTAAGCAAAAATTGTGTAGCGGGTTAGGATTGTTTTCAGTTTGTAGCCTGCCCTAGTTCTTTCAATGGTTGTAAAAGATCCTCATAGAATACCAAGTCAGTTTTGTTATTTTACTTTACAGTCATTTTCTGTTGACATAAAACTGTTTATAAATTATTATGCAGGACTAAAAAGCTAGTGCAGTTCAGAAAATTGTTTCTATTTGTTTACAATTTGTTCACTTCTAGTTCATGGCTTTGTTGCGGTCAGTGGCATCATCCCTTGACCTTGATGAGATTGAAGGTCTGCGTCCGATGGCCCATTCCCCTAAAGACGAAAGAGAATTGTTGATGGTGGCAAGGGAGAGGGCCTGCCAGCTTTTAGTGAATCGTATACATGTCCTGAAAGAAAGGATTGCCCGAAAGGATGAACTCCTGAAAGGCTATGAGCTAGACTTGACTAAACTTAGGTACATCACATCTTGTCTTACTTGTCTTAAATAAGGTACATCACATCTTGTCTCACCTGTCTTATATAAGGTACATCACATCTTGTCTTACCTGTCTTGTATAAGGTACATCACATCTTGTCTCACCTGTCTTATATAAGGTACATCACATTTTGTCTTACCTGTCTTATATAAGGTACATCACATCTTGTCTTACGGTCTTATATAAGGTACATCACATCTTGTCTTACCTGTCTTATATAAGGTACATCATATCTTGTTTTACCTGTCTTATATAAGGTACATCATATTTTCACTGTTTTATTATTATTTTACCTTACATGTCTTACATAATTCTTCTCCCACAAGACCGAGGAACATTGTCATAATGACCAGTGGTGACCTACATTTAATTTCTTGCTAGATGTAAACAAAGATTCTGATGGCTGATAATTATATTGAATGTTTGCCAAATAATGTATTGTTCAACATGTTGATCAACATATTGTTCAACATGTTGTTCAACATATTGTTCAACATGTTGTTCAACACGTTATCTTTATAAAATGTATCATTTAGTTGATGGTGAGTTGAGTGCAATTTAAATTTCCTTCGACATTTTAAAATTGTTGTTTTTTGGTTTAGACAATCACAAGAATTGGCAGAGAGACAATCTCACCAAGTAGAAACCCTTGCTGTAAGTTGTTTTTTTTTTTTTTTTACTGCTGCACCTGTATTACTGTTCATCATTTTTATTTTGAAATTTTGGAAATCTACTTTTATCAAAATATTTATTACAATATTAAGATATTTAAATCAACCAAGTAGAAACCCTTGCTGTAAGTTGGTTTTTTTTTTTTTTTACTGCTGCACCTGTATTACTGTTCATCATTTTTATTTTGAAATTTTGGAAATCTACTTTTATCAAAATATTTATTACAATATTAAGATATTTAAATCAAATGCAACTGTTATGTTTGACATTGATAAAAAGTGGGACTCCACTAAAAGCCTTTAAACAAAAGTGTTAAAAGGGATGTCATGATACTAAAGTTATTTTGTCTTGATACTAGAGTTATTTGTTGAGGCAATCAGGATCCTTTGCCCTGATATATCATCTAGTTGTGTATCAACAGAATGACATAAGAAGCAGATCTGAGGAATCTGAATACCTCAGAGAGTCACTCAACAGAACAAGAGACCGGCTCAACCAGGAGAAACGGCTTAACACAGCCATTAAACAGAAAAAGGTGATTGATTTTTTCCCTTTCTTTAGATTTCATTGATTGCGAGGTATGTACCTGGGGGAATTTTGTGATTTCGTAACATTATAAGATATTAAAATAATGACGGGGGGGGGGGGGGAGGGGGGGTGGTGGGAGAAAGGTTTTAAGTGAGCTCTTAAATAGTTGCTTATCTAAAAGTAGCTCAAGGAAAGATCACTCTATCTCTTAGTCTATCTGTAGGTTTATCTGTCACTCTATCTTTTGGTCTATCTGTCTCTCTACCATATTGTTGAGTGATATAAATGATGTAATTCTTGATTTAAAATATTGAAATATTTATTAAATATATTATTAAATATTTTAAAGTGAATAATTTGATCATCTGGATGTGAATTATTTATTTGTAACACCATTTATATTTGATGTATATATACCAACAAAAATATATAGACCTATTTCTTTCTGTGTTTTGAGTAATGAGTTAATTTGAAATTAAAGAAATTGGCAAAGTTCCACCTGTCATTAGACTTAATTAAATGAACCTTTGATTTACAGACTTTCCACTTAGAAAATGAAAGAGCTCATCTCCAGAATAATGGCAAGGGACATCACCACTGCCCTGTTGAAGATCCAAGAGTAAGTAGACTGAATAAATAATCCCAACCGATTTAAATGAACTAACATAATTTTAGTCTTAGGATTTGTTTCGCCTTCAACTTTTGTTGTTTATGATTGGTGCAGCCGTCAATCAGTGTTCCTGTGGTCATGTTTTTTAACAGTTTAGGTTTGCTAGTCTGACACCCAAACAATCTGTTGGCAAGAGGTAGGTTGACTGCATAAGTTCATGATTTAAATTGAAGACATTAGACTGAATTTTGTTTCCATGCAATCTTTCCTCATAGTCTAAATGCTCTTAGCAGAATTCAAATAAAAAATTTTTAGAAAAAAAAACGACAGCTTCAGTTAGAGTTTTTGAGTTGAATAATTTTCGTTCACAAGGTATTAGGATTATAATTAAATGTAAAGAGAACCAAACTAACAGGAGAGGGTCATGAAAATCTGAAAATAAGGGTTCTCAGTAGAAAAGTTTGGGAACCCTTTAAAATAAAAGCAAGCACTAAAATAAAACCAATGACACCTTTTCATAAACTGCTAGTTTGCCATAGTGGTGCACCCCAACCATTACACACCACTGGGTTGCCCGGTGCACCCTACCATTGCACCCCAAGGTTGGCCTGTTGCACCCCACTTTGTTCAATCACACCCCACTTGTTGGTTTGGTGCCCCCCCCCCAACTAGTTTCAGCACTATACACACATGTGCTCATAATTGCCTTTAAATTTGTTTTTCTTAATCATTAGTTTACAATAATTACCAAGTAACCTTGAACTTGGAATTTTTAACTTGAGACGACTAATCGCTTCTTAATTTTTCTCCGATAAAAGGCGGCTGTGAAAACAAAGCAGCAGAAAGAAATTGTTAAACGTAAAAATTACGAGATCAAGACACTGAAAGAAAACTTGTGTGAGACTGAGAAAGTTTTGTTTGAGAAAGAGAAAAGGCTTGTTTCATTGGAGGCTTCATAGGTAAGTAGAAGTATACTTTGAGTGTTTTATCATAATTGTCAACATCCTCAGCTTATTTTCATCTAAAGTTTTCATTTTTATTAGACCATATACAGGTAGGCCCCCTATAAAGTTAGGCACCTATACAGGTAGGCCCCTCTGCCTATCAGGTGTAGTTATAGGTGTGGTCATAGATATCTATCAGGTGTAGTTATAGATGTGGTCATAGATATCTATCAGGTGTAGTTATAAGATGTGGTCATAGATATCTATCAGGTGTAGTTATAGATGTGGTCATAGATATCTATCAGGTGTAGTTTTAGATGTGGTCATAGATATCTATCAGGTGTCGTTACACAGCTAATGTAACTACAAACATCAAATTATTACGAGCATCAGATATTTTATTTCATCTTTAACATGTCATGAATTGAAATGAATTAAATTAATCCTTATCTCGTTTTGACCTAGAGCAGTGGTCAGCATGACCTATAACAGTGGTCAGCATGACCTATAGCAGTGGTCAGCATGACCTAGAACAGTGGCCAGCATGACCTAGAACAGTGGTCACCATGACCTAGAGCAGTGGTCAGCATGATCTAGAGCAGTGGTCAGCATGACCTAGAGCAGTGGTCAGCATGACCTAGAGCAGTGGTCAGCATGACCTAGAGCAGTGGTCAACATGACCTAGAGCAGTGGTCAGCATGATCTAGAGCAGTGGTCTGCAACCTGTTGCTCTGGAGCTGCATGCAGCTCTTTTTTATTTTTATTATTTATAATGCCATGCGGCTCAAACTTTCCTCTTAGCAGATTTAGACATCAAATATTTGGCATAAGTGGTTCTCACACAATTAAGTTTGTTGAGCCTTGTCTTACAGAGAGAAGATATTTGTTTGTAGAGAGAGAGAGAGAAGATGTTTGTTTATAGAAAGAGAGAGAAAATGTGTGTTTGTAGAGAGACACAATGTTTGTTTGTTTGTAGAGAGGGAGAAGATGTTTGTAGAAAGAGAGAGCAGATGAATGTTTGTAGTGAGACAGAAGTTGTTTGTTTGTAGAGAGTGACAATGTTTGTTTGTAGAGAGAAAAGATGTTTGTTTGTAGAGAGAAAAGATGTTTGTTTGTAGAGAGAGAGAGATGATTGTTTGTAGAGTGTGAGAGAAGATGTTTTTTGTAGAGAGAGAAGATGTTTGTTTGTATATAGAGAGAAGATATTTGTTTATAGAGAGAGAGATGTTTGTTTGTAGAGAGAAAAGATTTCATATCAAATTATACATTACTAAAACAATATTTGCAAGGAATAGAAAAACAACAAGAAATAATGGAGAAATATGACAAGATAGTTTTGTATTGCACAATCACTTTGGGAATGGGAACTACAGTCACCATTATGGGAACATAAACTACAGTCACCATTACCTGGTCACAAAATCATTGATTGTCAAAAATAAGCTAAACATTCAAACATAACGGGATAATTTGTTGTAAACTTGTTCAATGGTTTACAGTAGTTTAAGAGAACTTTATGTCAAATATTTAAATGTTAACTTAACCATACCTATCACAAATATAAATAACAAGACATAAAGCTAATTAAAATGACAGTTATAAATGACCAGGCATATTGCTAATTAAAATGACAGTTATAAATGACCAGGCATATTGCTAATTAAAATGGAATATAGCAATTAAGGTTGAACACTGGTTCAAAATTTTTGCTAAAACAACTTCTGTCATTTTTTTTGTTATTTTGTTTTGGAAAACTTTGAAAGCCGTCTGTATACATTAACTTTCGCCAACTTTTTGCTTTTAAATTTTGACATTTTGTTTGTATAGGTTATCTAGATGACAGTTTGATTGTATAAGTTAGCTAGATGACAATGGTATAGGTTAGATAGATGTCAATTTGTATATGTAAGCTAGATGATATTTTTTTTGTATTGATTAGCTAGATGATATTTTGTTTGTATAGGTTAGTTAGGTGACATTTTGATCACATTGGTAAGCTAGATGACACTTTGTATAGGTTAGCTAGATGACATTTTGTCTCTGCATGGAATCAAATCAAACTTTTTGAAAATTTATTTTTATCAAACATTTCAAAGACACATCAACTAAATGTCTGATAACTCTCCCTAAAATAGTAAATAAATGACAGATAACTCTACCAAAAATATTACATAAATGACAGATAATTCTCCATAAAATATTAAATAAATGAAAGATAACTCTTCCAAAAATATTAATAAATTACAGATAACTCTTCCTAAAATATTAAATAAATGACAGATAATTCTTCCTAAAATATGAATAAATGACAGATAATTTTTCCTAAAATATTAATAAATGACAGATAACTCTTTCTAAAATATTAAATAAATGACAGACAACTCTTCCTAAAATTCTAACTTAAAAATGTCATCTTTAATTATTAACTTTAATGTTATATTTTGTGAATAATTATGACCTTATGATTAAAACAACAACCTATAAACAATTAATAAAATCAAACAAGTACAAAATTGAATGATACTAAAGGTGGGTGATGATATTTAAAGAATACTTAAAAAATTATGATGATGATGGTCAAATATTTTGTTAATATGGAACTTCAGCAAATAAGATCAACCTGTATCAGATCAACAGTTTGTGCAGTTGGGGAAAACACTCTAATTTTAGGGTCATGCCATTACAAGCTTGGTGCAAGAATACATTTTTAAAAAAAAATTCTGTGATCAATTTGAAAGAGGCAGCTGTCCAGTTACTGTCCAGTTAAACAGTAAATAAGAAACCACAATCTGTGTAAAAAGCAGAAGCTGACATAAACAAAACTTAAGCTGAAAGCTTTCTTCCATGGATAGACATGTCATATAACCTTTCTTCCATGGATAGACATGTCACTTAAGCTTTCTTGCATGGATGGACATGTCAAAGTGTTAAACATGCATTTGGTTTAACAAAGATGTGGTGCTTGGCCACCAGGCGTTCCATTTGATATGCTTGAAATTTTTAGTCTCAATTAATTCTATTACATCGGTGGAGTAATGTTTTTAGTCTCCATAGACCTATTCATTATTTTACATTCTGGAGTAATGTTTTTAGTCTCAATAGACCTATTCATTACTTTACATTGGTGGAGTAATGTTACTTTACATGGGTGGATTAATAGTTCTTTTTACTGGTGGAGTAATGTTACATTACATTGCTGGAGTAATGTTTTTACTCTCAATAGACCTATTCATTACTTTACATTCTGGAGTAATGTTTAGTCTCAATAGACCTATTCATTACTTTACATTGGTGGAGTAATGTTACTTTACATGGGTGGATTAATATTACTTTTTACTGGTGGAGTAATGTTACATTACATGGTGGAGTAATGTTACCATCTCCAAAGTTGATTTTTGCTATGGAGCCTGTTATTTAAAAAAGTTGATTGAAAGTTTATTCGAAATAAAAGAAATTCACCAAGATTTCATACATAATGCTAATGTTTCAATGTCCTGATGTAGTAATACTATAAATGTGTATTATGAAATATATTTTCTTTGGGCTCAAAACAACTCATCAGAATATATTGAAACTTGAAAGCATTTCGTTACAGTGAAGACTCTATAAAATTCTTAACAATTTATTCAAATTAAATGTTAAAATCCTGATTTAAGAAACAAACTTACTCATTAGAACTGAAAAGGTTTCAACCCTCACATCTGAGTTTGTTTGAAAAAAGTGTGTGTGGGTGTGAGTGTGTGTGTGTGGGGGGGGTGCTGTAACGCTACCACCTTGTAAAAATCTTTACTATTGCAGAGATCCTTAATGTTCCAGACATCCTTACTATTGAAGACATCTTGCAGACATCCTTACTGTTGCAGACATCCTTACTATTGCAGACAGTCTCAATATTGCAGATATTCTCACTATTGTAGACAGTCGTACTATTGCAGACAAAGCTAAACATTTGATTAAATCTATAAATTAAAAACAACTTCAACAAACATGAACAATATGTCTCACATCTTTGCTTGGGCTGTTCAACAAACATGAAAAATATGTCTCACATCTTTGCTTGGGTTGTTCAACAAACATGAACAATATGTCTCACATCTTTGCTTGGGTTGTTCAAAAAACAAGAACAATATGTCTCACATCTTTGCTTGGGTTGTTCAACAAACATGAACAATATGTCTCACATCTTTGCTTGGGCTGTTCAACAAACATGAACAATATGTCTCACATCTTTGCTTGGGTTGTTCAACAAACAAGAACAATATGTCTCACATCTTTGCTTGGGTTGTTCAACAAACAAGAACAATATGTCTCACATCTTTGCTTTTGTTGTTCAACAAACATGAACAATATGTCTCACATCTTTGCTTGGGCTGTTCAACAAACATGAACAATATGTCTCACATCTTTGCTTGGGCTGTTCAACAAACATGAAAAATATGTCTCACATCTTTGCTTGGGTTGTTCAACAAACATGAACAATATGTCTCACATCTTTGCTTGGGTTGTTCAAAAAACAAGAACAATATGTCTCACATCTTTGCTTGGGTTGTTCAACAAACATGAACAATATGTCTCACATCTTTGCTTGGGCTGTTCAACAAACATGAACAACATGTCTCACATCTTTGCTTGGGTTGTTCAACAAACATGAACAATATGTCTCACATCTTTGCTTGGGCTGTTCAACAAACATGAACAATATGTCTCACATCTTTGCTTGGGTTGTTCAACAAACATGAACAATATGTCTCACATCTTTGCTTGTGTTGTCAAGTGCACTGGTCTATGATGTTCAGATGCACCACATATTTACCTCACATAATTCTGTGTTTACAATACATACTAAGTAACATCAACACATCTCATATAATTGTACTTAATATATGAGATATTCAACAGCTCTTTCAGCTCTACACAACTTATACATTGTAGTCATCTTAATTAAAACAGCCTACAATAATATTATTGTATTTATTAATAAATGAGTTGAAATAATGAGTTGAAATAATGAGTTGACCTAATGAGTTGATATAATGAGTTGAAATTGTTGACATAATGAGTGAAATAATTAGTTGACATAATGAGTTGACATAATGAGTGAAATAAGTTGACATAATGATTTGACATAGTTGACGTAATAACCTAAATATGAAATAGTTACCCTGTAGTCAGTGTCATATCAAAGTTACCCCTGTAGTCAGTGTCATATCCTAGTTACCCCTTTAGACAGTGTCATATCTAGAAAAATGACTACAGTGAATAATTTAGATGGTTTGTTAAAAACTACATTTTCTGTCTACATGCATAATATCATATTATGTACATACAATTAAAAATCACAAAGGCCCCCCCCCCCCCCCCCCCCCCCCACCCCCCACAAACTGAAATGAGTATTCAAATTTCTATTGGCACTACAAAGAATAAATCTGGTTTTATAAATCTAGTATTTATTCTGCTTCTATTCTATATAAAGCTTTAGTCAACAAAAGCTTTTCTTCAAAATGATACATTATCCCAATTTTTGAACAAAATATTATTTTTAAAAAAAACATGGCTTTTTGTTATGCCATTCAGCTGCTTTTGATTTTTAAAACTGGTGGGCATCAAGTAAGATCTAAATATAGTAACAAAATTCTGGCAAGGACTTTCCATTGTATCCATTTTCTATGCCGGCGTTAAATTTAGGAAAGGAAATAAAAATGATTGAGCCCTAATCCTTCCCTTGCCCCATGCCCCATGCCTCTTGTGCCATGCCCATTCCAATCAATGAAGCTATGATTGATTGCATCAAGGTCTGCTGTAAAAACAATCATGATTGATTAAGTTTGGCTTAGTTGCAGGCTGCTTCAATTATGTAAAAAAAAAATCTTTCTCTTAGAAATGAATGAAAAGATTGCCCCAGAAATATCTTTACATTAAGCTCTCTGTGACCAAGAGTGACTGTGCACTCTCTGAATAAGAATAGCCTTAGAGTGTACTCAAACCTCGGGCCGGGGTGGGCAGGGAGGATGTAGTGAGAAATGATGGAGTGTTTGTGACCCTCAATTATGCATCAAGTGGAGAATAAGTGTAAATGATGTGGGCAGACTGTCGTTATTAGATTTTTTACAGAAATATGGCAGCCTTATGCCTTATGTGTGGCTGTGTAAGTGAGAGGTGTGCCTCTGACAGTGTGCGTGTGTGTTCTTCTGTGCTTAAAGTGTGTATGTGGGGGTTTGAATTGGAAATGTAATATGTAGTTAGTGTAATGGGTGTTGGAATTGGAAATGTAATATGTAGTTAGTGTAATGGGTGTTTGAATTGTGAATGTAATATATACTTAGTGTAATGGGTGTTTGAATTTGTAATCTAATATGTAGTTAGTGTAATGGGTGTTTGAATAAGGAATGTAATATATAGTTAGTGTAATGGCCACAAAAATTGCGATGAAAATCGCTGATCCCTTTATTTTCCTCAATTATTTTCAGAATTAATGTTTTTTTTCTTTTTTTTTTTTCCCCAGGCTTTTGATTGAGTCCAGAAAATGTCTCACAGTTGTTATTGACAAGGGGATGCAATGTGTTACACGTTCTTGTAATATTGCTCGATATTTTCAATATTGTTACTAAAATAATGAATTTCACACAGAGTCAAAAAATATGTCCATTAGAGTTTGTTAAATATTGTTTTTGTTTGAATTTCTCACTCACCAAAGACAAATATTTATTGTAAAAAAAATTCCCAAATTTAGACCCAATCACAAAAATACATCTGTCCACAGAAAAATAAATTTTTATTTTGTTTAATAAAGCTATTTCAAAATTAAATATAACATATTTCATTTGCACACAATATGTCTTTTATTTGTGTGCTTATTTCATCATGAACCAATCAAGTATGGGGATGGAGCTCTTGAGTACAAGATTTTCAATTAAATATTTTAATTAATGAAAAAAAGCCTTAAAATATTTCTATAGAAATACTATGAACCACATAATGTTAGAATTTATAATATTATTATTTCACATTTTTTATATTTATTTCATAATTATTTTATTTAACAATAATTTTATCTGTGATTATAAAGTTCACCTGTATGGTGGGAATTCTGGGTTCACCTTTAGCCTGAATCAGCTGTCACCAATAATTTCTATGTTCAAAATGTGATTGTACTTTTTCCTCCACTTAATGGTTCTCTGATTTTTGACAGTGATGAAATAAGATAACAATTTAATAGAATTTAAGAAGAGAAACATCTTTGTTACAGCACTGTGCATTGGCAGTGTAACAACACTGAAATATAGCAGTGTTAGGGCACCTTGATTTGAGAGTGTTATGACACTGTGATGTAGCAGTGTTATGGCACTGTGATTTGACAGTTTTACGACACTGTGATTTAGCAGTGTTATGGCACTGTGATTTGACCATATAATAATAATAATAATAAAGATTATTTGAAAATCACACTTCATCCCTAAAGGCCCAAAGTGCGGTACAAACCACATTGCAGTACAAAATATACATAGAACTTGTTTTTAATCACCCGTACTTCAGAATCTAAACTTTCAAAATTGACATGATCTTAATGTATCTTAGCCAAAGTTATTCTAATATAGGCAGGGTAAGTGCCGACTGGGGTTGGTCAAGCTTTTTGCAACCTTCCTTCCCCCCCAAGAAAACCTCTCCTGGCAGCCAATAATGCCACCCCTCAATGTAAGGAAAAAAGTGCCCCCAGGGAGGACAGCCCCCTCCGCACCCATCCCTCCCCCTTCTAGGCCAAACAATATAGGCCTATCTCTTCTTATTATTATTTATTTCAAAATAGTGCATTTTATTTGACTTGCTATGTATGTTAAGAATTGTATGTATGTTAAGAATTGTATGTATGCTGAGAATCGCTATGTATTTTCAGTCCTATATTGTATGAACTAAATTTCTATTAAGAAAATTTGAGTCAGCTATTAATATTAGCACAATTCATGTTGGTGCACAATTTTGACCTGCCAGAAATGTTAAATATTGAATGCATTGATGTTAAATTTTTTTAAAAGTCTATAAATTAAATTAATTTCTTATAGAATTCCATTTAACTGTGATATTTTATATTATTTTCTTCCTTCTCAATTTTAAAACCATTTCAATGTTGTGTTAAAATATAACACTCCAAATAAAAATTCTTTCTTGATAATTTAAACAAATTGTAATTTGTAAATTCAAAATTAATGTTTTAGTGTAAATGAAACAAAAATAATTTACCTCATAAAAATAAAGTGCCCAGGCTGTCTGTTGCAGAAATAGAACAAAGTTATTGATACAATATAATAACCAACATTTTGAAATCACATCAATAATATAGCAGTAATGCAAGGTTTAGAGAGTAATGGAACAGGATCCAATTTTAGTTCAGCTAATGACATCATCACAGTTTAATCTCTTTAAGAGAAGGAAATCACCTTCTTGTTGTACATGTAATGGAAGCTTCTCCAGTTAGTGTGTGTTTGTTTGTGTGGCATTTCAACATGATCAAAGACATTTGATTCTTTGCTTTTCAAATAAAAAATAACTGTCTGTAAGTATATTTCTTTTTATAAGACAACAGAAACAAAATTATTAGAACTTAATTAATCTATCTTTTATAAGATATTGTTATACACCACTAATAGCCTTAGACTCAGACAGCCCTGGCACAGTTGCAGCTCTATTCTACATCTATCTCTTGGAATAGAATATCTAGAAATAACTTATTGTTCAACAGAGAAATCATGTAATGATTAGCAAAGACATAAGTCATTGTTCAACAAAGAAATCACGCAATGTTTAGCAAAGACATATGTCATTGTTCAACAGAGTAATCACTCAATGTTTAGCAAAGACATATGTCAGTGTTCAACAGAGAAATAACTCTCCATAGAAATACGGAAGAATTAACAGATTTTTATATTCACTTTCATGTTTTAAAAATTTGTTTAAGAAATGTTTTTAAATGTTCCCAGCCAAAACTACAGAATAAGTTGTCCTTTTCAATGTATGTTAGCATTATTACCATTATTAGTATTTATTAATATTTTATTTATTGAAATCTGCCAACCTTAGACTGGTATTGCTTGCAGACCACAAATTAATGTCTTGACTAACCATAGACTGGTATTGCTTGCAGACCACAAATTAATGTCTTGACCAACCATAGACTGGTATTGCTTGCAGACCACAAATTAATGTCTTGACCAACCATTGACTGGTATTGCTTGCAGACCACAAATTAATGTCTTGACCAACCATTGACTGGTATTGCTTGCAGACCACAAATTAATGTCTGAATTGCAATTGATTTCTTAAATTCTAAATATTTGTTCATTTTTAAATTCTCTTCTTCACAAACCTGTTGAAAATGTTCATTCAAATTGAAAAGATGTGTCTACTATTTAATGAACCATTAGGTTAATCAAATTTACATATTGCAATTAAACATAATTTGTAGTTACAACCAAGAAGTGGTGTTTTTTATTAACATTGAGTTACAACAAAAAGTTATCTTTTAATCAGTATAGTTTGAGTTGCAACAAAAAGTTATGTTTTAATCAGTATAGTTTGAGTTGCAACAAAAAGTTATGTTTTAATCAGTATAGTTTGAGTTACAAAAAAAAGTTATGTTTTAATCAGTATAGTTTGAGTTGCAACAAAAAGTTATGTTTTAATCAGTATAGTTTGAGTTGCAACAAAAAGTTGTGTTTTAATCTGTATAGTTTGAGTTGCAACAAAAAGTTGTGTTTTAATCTGTATAGTTTGAGTTGCAACAAAAAGTTATGTTTTAATCTGTATAGTTTGAGTTGCAACAAAAAGTTATGTTTTAATCTGTATAGTTTGAGTTGCAACAAAAAGTTGTGTTTTAATCTGTATAGTTTGAGTTGCAACAAAAAGTTATGTTTTAATCTGTATAGTTTGAGTTGCAACAAAAAGTTATGTTTTAATCAGTTTGGCGCTGAGAGTTTGGCGCTGAGAGTTTGGCGCGGAGAGTTTGGCGCTGAGAGTTTGGCGCTGAGAGTTTGGCGCAGAGAGTTTGGCGCTGAGAGTTTGGCGCTGAGAGTTTGGCGCTGAGAGTTTGGCGCTGAGAGTTTGGTGCTGAGAGTTTGGCGCTGAGAGTTTGGTGCTGAGAGTTTGGTGCTGAGAGTTTGGTGCTGAGAGTTTGGCGCTGAGAGTTTGGCGCTGAGAGTTTGGCGCTGAGAGTTTGGCGCTGACAGTTTGGCGCTGAGAGTTTGGCGCTGAGAGTTTGGTGCTGAGAGTTTGGTGCTGAGAGTTTGGTGCTGAGAGTTTGGCGCTGAGAGTTTGGCGCTGAGAGTTTGGCGCTGAGAGTTTGGCGCTGAAAGTTTGGTGCTGAGAGTCTGGTGCTGAGAGTTTGGTGCTGAGAGTTTGGTGCTGAGAGTTTGGCGCTGAGAGTTTGGTGCTGAGAGTTTGGCGCTGAGAGTTTGGTGCTGAGGGTTTGGCTTGAGGAATATCCTCTCAAAGTTTCAGTTTTTTTTTTAAAAATACATGGTCATCTTATAACAAAGAGTTCTTTTCTCTACTTTACACAAGCAATATATCATCTTTACTCCCAAATGAGATCTATATATAGAACTTTCTTGGTTGCCGATGATTATATTGTTTCCACGCTTTAACTAATAATTTGTCTTAATCCTTTGAAGGTTATCTTATCTTTTGTAAAACACACTACCCCTTTCTCTCTCAGGTATGCAGATTGAATTTGTTGAAACAGTGCGAAACACGTCTATTTAGACAGAACACTATCTATGGAAAACCACATTAACATGATTTGCAAGGTGATTTTTCTAGAGCTGCGCAGAATTAGTCATAGCAGATCTTTCTTAACGTTTGATGCAACAAAGAGGCTGATGTCTGCATTCGTGCTATCATGCATGGACTATTGCAATGCTCTCATGATGAATCTTCCAGCTATACTCCTGGAAAGAATTCAAAAAGCACAGAATAATGCGGCTCGCATTGTTTTTCGCAAACGCAAATTTGACTATACTAAAACACTTCTGAGAGAGTTGTATTACCTGCCAGTCCGTGCTCGCATAGAGTACAAAACTGCAACTCTGTGCTACCACTTCTTGCATGACCTGGCGCCGTCCTATCTCAAAGCGGACATTGGACCGTGCGGTGGCACACCACGAGCTTCCCCGTACCTGCACCCCCGCAACCGCTCGATCGGATTTGCGGATGGAGGCTTTCCCCACCCCAGGACGTCCGGACGACCGAAAACGCTGCGTTTAAAGGGTTCGCAGTCGACTCTCCCGGGAATTCGGGATGGTCAATTTACGTTCTAATATCTTCCCTCACTCATCCCGGGAAAGCGTCGGACGCCCTATAAGAGAGCTTCTAAAGTGGGGTTCCACAACGCAACTAGTTTTTGAAATAGCTGGAATGATATGTTTTCTTAGGATCAGCTTTCTCAGGGCTTCATAGTTAGAATCATCGGCTAGAGGTTTCCACCTTCGCCTCTAGCCTCATATTCATTAACGGCATATAGTAATCATGATCCCTACCCTGTCTCTGCCTTTACTTCCAATTGTAAAGCTTCACAGTTGGCAGCCCTGTAGGTGCTGCTTTTATTTCTGGCAGGTACCATGCATATCCATTGTCTGCCCACGCAGGACACGCAATAGCGGTTTTGTTTGCCGGGTAAAGACGAGGGGGCTCAGTGGCCGGCGCATATTCATCGGAAAGCAACTACAGACGTGTTGACCGGATCCCTGGGGAGCTCGTTTAGAATAAGAAAAGACATGTTAAGGACATCTGACTTTCTCAACTAGCACAATAAAGGACCTGTCACTGACTTGGGGCACATTGGTTTTGGAAGGGGACATCAAGTCACTTGAATAAATAACCTGTTAAAATGTTACAGCAATTAATGATGTAATGGAAGCATCACATTCTATTGGTTACATTAAAATAATCACAAACATAGAATTAGTTGTATGTGAATGTATTTGTTAGGCTCTAAGGTTTAGGGTTTACTTCTAGCGTTTGGTTTGTGGCTTTAGGGTGGAGGAGGAAGGAAGGAAGGGGTGAGTCTCTTCAAAATTGTCTTTCCCTTTAAAGAATGTGCCAGTCTGTGCACAGTGCATAGTGCACCATTGGCGTGTCCAAAGTTGTCACAGTGATTTGTGTAGCAGGACATGTTGATTTAGCAGTCACCCCGTCTGTTGGCCAATCAAATTCGACCGAAACCTTGCTACCGGTCACAAAATATTCAGGCAATCAAGGTTACCATCCGGGTACGTCACTAGACTTGCTGCTGATCAAGTCACATGACCAAATTTTTGTCGTTTTCCATTAAGCAGAATAGATTCTTGTCTCTCACAAACACAATGCCTCAATCCATAGATCACAAACACAATGCCTCAATCCATAGATCACAAACACAATGCCTCAATCCATAGATCACAAACACAATGCCTCAATCCATAGATCACAAACACAATGCCTCAATCCATGGATCACAAACACAATGCCTCAATCCATGGATCACAAACACGATGCCTCAATCCATGGAACACAAACACAATGTCTCAATCCATAGATCACAAACACGATGCCTCAATCCACGGAACACAAACGCGCTTCCTTCATCACGACCTGACCTCTACAAACGACAAATCTGACCACGCAAGTTTTCACATTTTCCAAAAGAAAGTTCCCATGGAGATTGCACGCGGGTTCACAATCTCTCAGACGGGAGAATGTAGGTCATCCATCGTTCGCGCCACGTTGTAATTGTTGCTGTTCTTGGTCGAGGCCGTTGCTCTGACGTCATAGATGTTGTCGCACGAACCGAAAGGCTTGACGACGCGGTGCGACTTGTTGCTCCCTCTGGTGCTGCACGTGCTCAAGGTGTTACTGTTGCTCAACGAGACAGAGTCCACCGTCTTGCCTTTGTTCTGGCGCCTCACGTGATGGTCAAATATAGCGGGGGAGGAACAGTACCTGGGGAGCATGTAGGCTGCCATGTCCTCGCTCTCGGCAGCTTTCCGCCGCTCGATTTGCACCACAATGAGGCGGTAGATGAGCAGAACGATGACGATGGTGTTCTTGCACGTGAAGAACATGTTGGTGTAGCTAAGGACGTAGTATTTGAAGATGAGCAGCATCCGCAGCACGAGGAAGGGCAAGTCCTGCAGGCATATCGAGATGATGATGCCGTACACGTCCGGGTTGCAGCACCCGTCGTGACCCGCCAGGTGGTTGACGGGGATGAGGCCGGTTCTGTCCCGTCTGACGCGGGTGGCGGTCAGGACCAGAGAGAACTGGATTAGGCTCAGTGACCAGATGCCCATGATGACGATGCACAGATGTTTGTTGTACCGCACCTGAGGGGAGAGAAATCACATAGTTAAAGGCGATCGCATGCACGTTGTTACAATGAAATTTGCCATCATCAAAATGTGTCCCGGTCCAAAAGTCAAAATTAGCATTATTTCAGTTCCACATATTAAATTATGTTTTTTTCAAATCTAATGTTTAATTATAAATATTGTTGGATAAATTATGAAATAGCAGAATGAGGTTCGAATCTTATTGTCCTGTCAATTAATTCAAGCTTCAATATACACCGTTCTGCTATTTCGTTTACTTAGCTCGAATGCAGTCCTTCGATTATTATGGACAACTATTGGAGTACTGTTGCACAACTGTTTTCAAGTCCATAAATAATGGAGATTAATTTCACCGTGCCATATTGATAGCCTCGGTAACTAATATTTCTCTAATACAGAGAATGGCTACACTAGAAAGCCACTGATTTAGATAGAAGACCTAACCGCACACTTGTAAATCGAAAAAAGCAATGCCCAGTTGTTATTATAAACATGGGCAACACATTCCACTACATGTTCATGAGGGTAATGTCATTTCTTAGCATGAATCATGACGTCATTCAATGCATTGTCCTTCTCAAACAATGCTTTACGATTAAATCGACTTCAAGACAGGAGACGTCATGCAGTAAATAATCATTACGGATCTATTCAATGATACCTGTTCCTCTTTGAAGGCCTCAAAAAACTCCACGATGTCTGCAGCAGTTCCGATGTAGACCAGGAGAAGCTGTGACAGTTGGTCGTGGGTGAGCTTACCCTTGGGCAGGAACCATCGTCCCAGGATGAGAATCAACAGCAGGAGCTGCTCTAGAGTCCGTATCCACTCGTCCGAGGTCAGGTTGATGGGGATGCTTACCTCAAACTTATACTGAAAAAATGAAAACCAGTAAAATAGGGGTCAAAGCCATACTGAAGAAATTAACATCAGTGAGCTAGGGCAGTGGTCAGCACACAGTCGAAATAGCCAAACATCAGCAGCAGGACGATTAAAATTCTTGAGAGCCAAATTTCTTTTCAAGAAGCTGTCAAAACCATGTTTTTCGGAGTCAAAACCGAGTTGCGGCCGACGGTCCGAGCCACACTCATGTCACTAAAGAGCCGCATGCGGCTCGCGAGCCACGATTTGCCGACCATTGAGTTGGGGTCAAATCTCTCCTGAAGAAATTAACACGAGTGAGTCAAAGCGGAGGGGAGATGGCAGGCTATTTATGGGAACCGTTGCAAATAAAATGAGATTTTAATTGATTAAAAAAAATATGAATGTCTGAAAAATATTTTAAAATAATCCTTAAAATTACTTCTTTTTAAAAAAAAAAAATTAAAAGTAAATTAATTTAAAAAAAACAACAACAAATTATCTAGATATATTTTCTAGATGTTCAATAAAATTTATCAAAACTACAAAATAAAAATATTGAAGTAAAGGGCAAAAACCTAATGGCTAGGTATGAAAGTTCTTCCAGAAGTCCATGAAAGAATTTTTTTTTTCACGAATTCTTTTTCCCCCAGTTCGAGTTCGAGTGTTTCTCTCACAACTGCGTTAATTGCACTAAATGTTTACGTCTGGAGCTTACCAAAATAAATCTTACGTCCTAGTCTGTGCCTGGCACTGGTATTAGCTTTAATCGTATGAACTTAGATTTGTTACGTTGCGTAAGTTTATTCCTCCCCAGGTGTCACAACGGTTCTCATTACATAGCGTAACAGGCCTGATGGTCAGAAAATTTTAGCTTTGCGTTGTTTTCACTTTTCACAGGTGCAATTGAAAAAATTCCCAAAATTCGGTGAAAATTCTCGTTTTAAAAGAAATTATAAACTAATCACAATTTATATTTAAATTGATGTTGTTTTTTAACTTTAATTATGTCATTTAGTTACTGGAATATTAATTTGAACTACTTTACTTGCTTGAATATTAATTAGTGCTACTTTACTGCTTGAATATTAGTTAGTGCTACTTTACTTCCTTGAATATGAATTAGTGCTACTTTACTTGCTTGAATATTAGTTAGTGCTACTTTACTTGCTTGAATATGAATTAGTGCTACTTTACTTGCTTGAATATTAGTTAGTGCTACTTTACTTCCTTGAATATGAATTAGTGCTACTTTACTTGCTTGAATATTAGTTAGTGCTACTTTACTTGCTTGAATATGAATTAGTGCTACTTTACTTGCTTGAATATGAATTAGTGCTACTTTACTTGCTTGAATATTAGTTAGTGCTACTTTACTTGCTTGAATATTAGTTAGTGCTACTTTACTTGCTTGAATATGAATTAGTGCTACTTTACTTGCGTGAATATTAATTAGTGCTACTTTACTTGCTTGAATATGAATTAGTGCTACTTTACTTGCGTGAATATTAATTAGTGCTACTTTACTTGCGTGAATATGAATTAGTGCTACTTTACTTGCTTGAATATTAGTTAGTGCTACTTTACTTGCTTGAATATGAATTAGTGCTACTTTACTTGCGTGAATATTAATTAGTGCTACTTTACTTGCTTGAATATGAATTAGTGCTACTTTACTTGCGTGAATATTAATTAGTGCTACTTTACTTGCGTGAATATGAATTAGTGCTACTTTACTTGCTTGAATATTAGTTAGTGCTACTTTACTTGCTTGAATATGAATTAGTGCTACTTTACTTGCGTGAATATTAATTAGTGCTACTTTACTTGCTTGAATATGAATTAGTGCTACTTTACTTGCGTGAATATTAATTAGTGCTACTTTACTTGCGTGAATATTAATAAGTGCTACTTTACTTGCGTGAATATTAGTTAGTGCTACTTTACTTGCTTGAATATTAGTTAGTGCTACTTTACTTGCTTGAATATTAATTAGTGCTACTTTACTTGCGTGAATATTAGTTAGTGCTACTTTACTTGCGTGAATATTAATAAGTGCTACTTTACTTGCTTGAATATTAATTAGTGCTACTTTACTTGCTTGAATATTAGTTAGTGCTACTTTACTTGCGTGAATATTAATTAGTGCTACTTTACTTGCTTGAATATTAGTTAGTGCTACTTTACTTGCTTGAATATTAATTAGTGCTACTTTACTTGCTTGAATATTAGTTAGTGCTACTTTACTTGCTTGAGTATTAATTAGTGCTACTTTACTTGCTTGAATATTAATTAGTGCTACTTTACTTGCTTGAATATGAATTAGTGCTACTTTACTTGCTTGAATATTAGTTAGTGCTACTTTACTTGCTTGAATATTAGTTAGTGCTACTTTACTTGCTTGAATATTAGTTAGTGCTACTTTACTTGCTTGAATATTAGTTAGTGCTACTTTACTTGCTTGAATATTAATTAGTGCTACTTTACTTGCTTGAATATTAGTTAGTGCTACTTTACTTGCTTGAATATTAGTTAGTGCTACTTTACTTGCTTGAATATTAGTTAGTGCTACTTTACTTGCTTGAATATTAGTTAGTGCTACTTTACTTGCTTGAATATTAGTTAGTGCTACTTTACTTGCTTGAATATTAGTTAGTGCTACTTTACTTGCTTGAATATTAGTTAGTGCTACTTTACTTGCTTGAATATTAGTTAGTGCTACTTTACTTGCTTGAATATTAGTTAGTGCTACTTTACTTGCTTGAATATTAGTTAGTGCTACTTTACTTGCTTGAATATTAGTTAGTGCTACTTTACTTGCTTGAATATTAGTTAGTGCTACTTTACTTGCTTGAATATTAGTTAGTGCTACTTTACTTGCTTGAATATTAGTTAGTGCTACTTTACTTGCTTGAATATTAGTTAGTGCTACTTTACTTGCTTGAATATTAGTTAGTGCTACTTTACTTGCTTGAATATTAGTTAGTGCTACTTTACTTGCTTGAATATTAGTTAGTGCTACTTTACTTGCTTGAATATTAGTTAGTGCTACTTTACTTGCTTGAATATTAGTTAGTGCTACTTTACTTGCTTGAATATTAGTTAGTGCTACTTTACTTGCTTGAATATGAATTAGTGCTACTTTACTTGCTTGAATATTAATTAGTGCTAACTTTAATGCCGATGAATTTAATGGCCACAAAAAATAGCACGAGGAAATATGGTGTGCATTTAAAGAAGAAAAATAAAGAAATGTTTTCCATTTGTTTGTGTTTTAATAATATTAATCAGAGGGAAAGTAGGAATAAATGGTGGTTTAGGTGCAGAGGCGTAGCGAGGGTGTTTGGCGCCCGGGAACAAGATTCGCACCCGGGGACAAGATCCATTTTAAAGCGCCCCATATTCTTTTTTTCAACTCTCAAGCCCATTATTTTCATCAATAAATAATATCAAAGCACATTTTGGCGCCCCTAACTAGCTGGCGTCCGGGGACATCTGCCCCCATGACCCTCCCCTCGCTACGCCTCTGTTTAGGTGTTAGTTTTGTCTTTCTGTGTATGCGTGTGTGTTTGTGGGTCTGTGTTTGTTATTCCTTCATCCAGTCTAGAGAGCAGCACTTTGCGAAACTGAGCTCACCACGTGATTATATGAGCCAATAGGAAGTAGTACACATTTTACTTCTTTTTTTAGATATCACATACTTCCGATTAATACAAATATTTATCACTTTGTGAGATTTTTTATAATTACAAAATATACAAAATGGACATTAATCCTAAAATTACAAGTTATTTTCACAACATTCCCAAATTCCGAAAATTTTATAAAAAGTTCCCAAGAGTTACCAACACCCTTCATTGACAAAAAGAGCGGATTAATAAAAAAAAAACCAAATTTTAATTTTAAAAAATCTTGTGATCGGTAAATAGACGAAACAAACCTATTGTTTTTATGCGCTTTTAAAAAGCTGTCAGAAATAAAAACAAACAAACCAAAAAAGATAAATAAATAAATGAAGCTTTAAAAAAAAATAAATATCAATGGTTGTTATGTTAACAAAATTATTGTGCCCCATAAATGAAATGTGACATTTGGCTCCAGTGTGCCCCATAAATGTAATGTGACCTTGGGCTCCAGTGTGCCCAATGAATGTAAGTGACCTTTGTCTCCAGTGTGGCCAAAAAAGTAATGTGACCTTTGGCTCCAGTGTAAACCATAAATGTAATGTGACCTTTGGCTCCATTGTGCCCAATGAATGTAATGTAACATTTGGCTCCAGTGTGCCCGATAAATGTAATGTGACAGATAAATGTAATGTGACATTGGGCTCCGGTGTTCCCCATAAATTTACTGTGAATTTGGCTCCAGTGTGGCCCATAAGTAATGTGAAATTTGGCTCCAATGTGCCACATAAATGTAATGTAACATTAGGCTCCAGTGTGCACCATAAACGTAATGTGGCATTAGGCTCCAGTGCGCACCATAAACGTAATGGGACATTTATGGTGCGCACTGGAGCATTTGGCTCCAGTGTGCACTATAAACGTAATGGGACATTTGGCTCCAGTGTGCACCATAAACGTAATGTGACATTTTGCTCCAATGTGCCACATAAATGTAATGTAACACTAGGCTCCAGTGTGGCCCATGATTGTAATGTAACATTAGGCGCCAGTGTGGAACATGAATGTAATGTGACATTTGGTATCAGTGTGCGGCATAAATGAAATCTGACATTTGCATAAATTTTAATGTGACATTTGGCTTCAGTGTGCCGCATAAATGTAATGTGACAGTTGGCTGCAGTATACCTCTTGAATGTCATGAGCCGTTTGGTCCAGTGTCCAACAGTTGAAACACTACAACTAGAAATTACTTTTCGTCTTTTTCCTGTTACTGATGACTTTTTCCCCTTTCAGATCTTCTGGCCCAGCGGTTCCAAAACAATCGTTCGAGGACGCTATGGGCTACGCAAAAGTTATATCGATAATTGGGGTAAACGGAAAAAAAAGTTTATTTTACACGCGATGATTAACGAGAAGATAAATTTCAATGTGTGGCTACTCATAAATGAAAAGTTTAATCAAGGGGTACAGGAGAAATAAAGTTTTGGATCCGCTTTTCTAGCCGGATGCGTTAATTAGAGCAAGTATTTTGAAGTTATGGAAATCAAAGGAAGGATGAATAACAAAATGAAACTGCGCAAATATTTTGAGATGTTTAGTTTGAGATGTTTAGTTTTGAGATGTTTAGTTTTGAGATGTTTAGTTTTGAGATGTTTAGTTTTGAGATGTCTAGTTTTGAGATGTTTAGCCATGAGATGTTTAGTTTTGAGATGTTTAGTTTTGAGATGTTTAGTTTTGAGATGTTTAGTTTTGAGATGTTTAGTTTTGATATGTCTAGATTTGAGATGTCTAGTTTTGAGATGTTTAGTTTGGAGATGTTAAGTTTTGAGATGTTTAGCCATGAGGCGTTTAGTTTTGAGATGTTTAGTTTTGAGATGTTTAGCCATTAGATGTTTAGTTTTGAGATGTTTAGTTTTGAGATGTTTAGTTTTGAGATGTTTAGTTTTGAGATGTTAAATTTTGAGATGTTTAGCCATGAGATGCTAAGTTTTGAGATGTTTAGTCATGAGGTGTTTAGTTTTGAGATGTTTAGTTTTGAGATGTTTAGTTTTGAGATGTTAAATTTTGAGATGTTTAGCCATGAGGTGTGTTCTATTCAGTTAGATAAATAGATCGTTTGGTTGAGAAATAATTTCCGAATCTGATCCATGGCCGCCTTACCATTAGCTTTTTTTAAAATTTAAATGTAAATGTTTTTCTTACAATAACTCACTGTCCAGGTTGACATTGAACTCTGTTCTTACCTCTAACACACTGCCAATACTTTCTATCAACCGTGTTCTTACCACTAACACACAACCAAGACTCACACTCAACTGTGTTCTTACCCCTAACACACTGCCAATACTTTCTATCAACCGTGTTCTTACCACTAACACACAACCAAGACTCACACTCAACTGTGTTCTTACCCCTAACACACTGCCAATACTTTCTATCAACCGTGTTCTTACCACTAACACACAACCAAGACTCACACTCAACTGTGTTCTTACCCCTAACACACTGCCAATACTTTCTATCAACCGTGTTCTTACCACTAACACACAACCAAGACTCACACTCAGCTGTGTTCTTACCCCTAAAACACTGCCAATACTTTCTATCAACCGTGTTCTTACCACTAACACACAACCAAGACTCACACTCAGCTGTGTTCTTACCCCTAACACACTGCCAATACTTTCTATCAACCGTGTTCTTACCACTAACACACAACCAAGACTCACACTCAACTGTGTTCTTACCCCTAACACACTGCCAATACTTTCTATCAACCGTGTTCTTACCACTAACACACAACCAAGACTCACACTCAACTGTGTTCTTACCCCTAACACACTGCCAAGGTTTCCGCTCAACTTCTCAGTTGTTTTGTTCCTGTTGTATTCGCTTGTAGTCTGATTTGTGTTGATCCGCTTGTCAAGTTCATACAGCTCCAAGAACCAAATTGTTGGCACGATACACATCAGATAGATAAATACACTTGGACAGAACCTGAGAAATATAAAACATCAGATAGATAAATACACTGGGACATAACCTGAGAAATATAGAACGTCAGATAGATAAATACACTGGGACAGAACCTGAGAAATATAGAACATCAGATAGATAAATACACTTGGACAGAGCCTCGGAAATATAGAACATCAGATGGATAAATACAGATGGACAGAACCTGAAAAATATAGAACATCAAATGGATAAATACAGATGGACAAAACCTCAGAAATATAGAACATCAGATGGATAAATATAGTTGACAACAGAGAGCTGAAATTGGACGATGGAAAATTTAAGATATTGGAAAATATTGTTATCAAGATTGTTAATCTCTCTTTAATTCGAATGTTAGGGATTAAGAGAGTAAGAGATTAAGTAGTTTTAGGTCATGAGTATATTTCAGTGCCAGATGGTAACAAACTTGGGTGCTAAACTAAGGCGTCAAACATAGGTGTCAAACTTAGGGGTCAAACATAGGTGTCAAACTTAAGGGTCAAACTAAGAAGTTAAACTTAAGCGTCAAACGTAGGGGTCAAACTTAGGTGACAAACGTAGGTGTCGAACTTAAATGTCAAACTTAGGTGTCAAACGTTGGTGTCAAACTTAGGTCTCAAACTTAGCTGTCAAACGTAGGTGTAAAATTTAGGTGTCAAACATAGGTGTCAAACTTAGGGGTCAAACTTAGGTGTCAAACTTAGGTTTCAAACTTAGTTGTCAAACTTAGATGTCAAACGTAGGTGTCAAAATTATGTGTCAAACTTAGATGTCAAACTTAGGTGTCAAACTTAGGTGTCAAACTTAGGTGTTAAACGTTGGTGTCAACTTTAGGTGTCAAACTTAGGTGTCAAGCTTAGGTGTCAAACATAGGTAAGAGTAAGAGTAAGAGAGTAGTCATTGTTTTCAACCAGCTCTTGCTAAGAGTAAGGGAGTAGTCATTGTGTTTTTTACGTCAGACTACCATTGTTAATGCATTTATCTAACACACACGTGATGCCTCGATATGAAAATAAATTGACATACCGGATTGACGGTCAACAGACAGAGTGACAGTACAGACAGAGTGACATTACAGACAGAGTGACAGAAAAAGAACCAGTGGCAGTACAGACAGACTGGCAGACATACCGGGGACCTGACTGGCAGACATACCGGGGACCTGACTGGAAGACATACCGGGGACCTGACTGGCAGACATACCGGGGACCTGATTGGTGGACATACCGGGGACCTGACTGGTGGACATACCAGTGACTTGACTGCTGGAAATACCGGGGACCTTATTGGTGGATATACCGGGGACTTGACTGACAGACAAACTGGGGACCTGGCTGGCAGACATACTGGGGACATGATTAGCGGACATACCTGGGACCGTACTGGCGGACTAAAGCGAGAATTATCACGGAAGGCCAGCAGCCAAGGTGAAGTGATCATTGCTACTAAGTATCAGACCCCGTACACTAGTGTCTGAATGTTGAAGTTACCAGTTGTGCAAGTGTCAGTTAAGTATTAAGATATTACAAGGAGATTGGATGTTGGACTTCGCGTATGGTGAACTTAGAACACAAAATGATCCGGCAGTTCTTTTGCTGCCCTCTCGGATACTACTTTTTAGAGAAGTTCTATTTTTATTTAATTCTGTTTTTACTGTTGTTTGTTCGCTGACGAAGGCTTCCTGCCAACACGTTTGTTGTCCGCTGCGTTTATCGTTGTGGAGATACCAGATGTTATCACTTGAGTAGTGGGTCATTGTGGAGGTGCCAGGTACTATCCTTTGACTAGAGTAGTAGCTCTTTCTGGTGATGTCAGATAATATTACTTCTATAGTCGTGGGTCATTGTAGAGATGACAGATTATATCTTTAAATATTGTGTGATTTTTTGCAGTGCCATATACTCTCCCTTGGGAGGTGGGTCATTGTGGAGATGCCAGACACTATCCCTTGATTAGTGGATCATTGAGGAGATACAAGATACTATCCCTTGAATAGAGAAGTGGGTAACTATGGAGATGTCAGACACTACCCCTTGAATAGATCAGTGGTTCAATGTGGAGATGCCAGACACTACCCCTTGATTAGTGGGTCATTGTGGAGATGCCAGACATTATCCATTGAATAGAGAAGTGGGTCGTTGGGGAGGTACCAGATACTATCCCTTGAATAGAGAAGTGGGTCTATGGTGAGATACCAGTTACTATCCCTTGAATAGAGAAGTGGGTCATTGTGGAGATACCAGATACTACCCCTTGAGTAAGGGTGCAGGTTGCGTAACACTAGAAGGTACTCCTTCTGATTTTGACTTAGAATGGTTAAATGCTTGCCTGTAGCAGCTTACTAGTTATAATGAAATTTCACACATTTTTCTGAAATATGATAAGTGCATAGTGACGCAAAGACACGGTTGAGTCTAAAATACTCAAAAAATAAAATAGAGACCTATTGAATGTGATTTTCTGGTTTTGGCCAAAAACGAAACTAAACCGAAAGTTAAAAATGAATTTTGGCCGAAGCTGAAACCAAAAGCTGAACGAGACTTAAGGTCGACACCCAGACCGAAAATAGATATAATCTAACCAAGCCAAAAGATTTACAAACTTTGCTTTGAAACAATACAGTCAGAAAACATTCAAGAATTATTAACAATCATCATCAATACTTGAACAATTAGTAAATTAGCCTTAATCCAGAACTAACCACGACGACCATACACTTCTAGTTACAGTTGTTAGTTGGCAATTAGTTCAGCATTAATTGGTTTGTAGCAGAAGTCAAACATACAAATGTTGCAGTTCAGTCACACAGTTGTCTCTGCTTTATTTACCTTTACCTATGACACTATTTAAGAGCACGATAATGATAAATCAAAATGAATGTTACATATAATGAATTCAGGTAATCTATGGTTCTAAAATGTTATTTAAAAAAAAATTAAAACAAAAATAATAGTATAAATATTATCATTCCCTAAGCTTTTCCCCCACCCCAACAAAACTATTTATCTTTGCTTAAGCCTAATTGTAATTTTATTTTTTGAAATATTGGACAAGTAGGTCATCATGCAGCTGCGAACAATGTTCGCAAGGAATTAGTCATACATCATGCGATGATATCAAGATGTGGAATAATAATGAATTAACATGATTACCTGTTGCCGTTAATTTATATGAGGTCTGGGTGGCGGTTAAAACCCATACCGATGATTTTAGCTACGCGGCCCTGAGAAAGCCGCTAATAGGCGACCGTTTAAGTCCCAGCTTTCGTCCCAACCGGGCAACTCCCTGGACAATGGGGGGAGGTAATGCAACACCTTTCCCCCGGAGGGGTAGCACAGCCGTTCTGACCAAGGAGAGTGGACCGCGGACGCTTTAAACGCAGCATCTTCAGTCGACCGGCCAGGCCGGGGGGGGGGGGGGGGGGTCCCGACATGCTTCCGCACGGTCAGGCGGGGGGGAGACCCGTCGACTGGTCCGTGTGGATAGGTGCCGGGGGGGGTATTAAGAGCTCGCACTCGACAACAGCTTCCGCACGGTCAGGCGGTGGAGAGACCCGTCGACTGGTCCGTGTGGATAGGTGCCGGGGGGGGTATTAAGAGCTCGCACTCGACAACCCGCCGACGTCATCTCCAGTGCGACGTTATTAGTAATAAGAAATATCGGATTGAATGTCAACAGAGTGACAGTTCAGACAGAGTGACATTACAGACAGAGTGACGGAAAAAGAACTAGTGGCAGTACAGACATACTGACAGTACAGTCAGTACAGTAAGAAAGAGAGACTGACAGAGTGACAGTTTGACTTCTAGTACAAGACAGAAAACCTAATCATTTTCGGCTGAAACCCAAAATCAACCGAAAGTTATTTTTTTTATTTGGCCGAAAAATACGTCGAAAATGATCACGCGACAAATTTCGGTGCCGAAACCGAAACCAACATTTGGGCGGACTTTACAATAAATCATCAAAGACGTGAAAGTCTTCGGTGTGGTCATCGTCTGTGGTCACCGTGTGTGTGTGGTCAACGTGTGTGTGTGGTCACCTGGTGTGGTCACCGGGTGAGGTCACCGGGTGTGGTCACCATGTGTGGTCACTGGGTGTGGTCACCGTGTGTGTGTGGTCACCTGGTGTGGTTTCCGGGCTTGGTCACCTGGTGTGGTCATTTGGTGTGGTCACCGGGTGTGGTCACCGGGTGTGGTCACCGGGTGTGGTCACCGGGGGTGCTCACCGGGTGGTCACCGGGGGTGGCACCGGGTGTGGTCACCAGGTGTGATCACCGAACGTGGTCGCCTGGTATGGTCACCCGGTGTGGTCACCTGGTGTGGTCACCTGGTGTGGTCACCTGGTGTTGTCACCTTCTGAAAATAATGTGTCAAAGCTCATCCTTAAATTGTCTTAAGAATGTGAAATATGGGGGAAGATATCTGAGAAGAAAACAATCTAGTTTTCTTGACTCTCATTTTAGAACCGCGAGGTTCCTGAATATAGGACAAAACAAACTCTGCCCTAATGACGTGGTAGGAACCGGAAATTGATGACTGCATCAAGTCTAGCAGAGTTGTCTCGTCCCGTTATAACTATGATTGACCTCATCTCGCCCTGGCAGGCGGCAGCCATTTTCTTGACACAGGTTGAATGGTAATTGGTCGGAAATGGTTCCGTGTCGCTATGAAAGGACACGACTCGGGAATGGACAGGGGGCAGACAATTATGACAGAACAAAACATTGTCGTCTGCTGGTTGTGTTTCAGTGGCGTTCAATGTCAGCCAATATAATTAAATACGTTATAATTAAGATGGTTATCACGCAAGATGTTTGGTTCCCATACCCTCACACACAAGATGGTTGTTCCCACACACTCACACATAAGATAGTTGGTTCCCACACACTCCCACACAAGATGGCTTGTTCTCACAATCTCACACACAAGATGGTTGGTTTCCACACACTCAACACAAGATGGTAGGTTCCCACACACTGACATACAAGATGTTTGGTTACCACACACTGATACACAAGATGGTTGGTTCCCACACCCTCACACACAAGATGGTTGGTTCCCACACACTCACACACAAGATGGTTGGTTCCCACACCCTCACACACAAGATGGTTGGTTCCCACACCCTCACACACAAGATGGTTGGTTCCCACACCCTCACACACAAGATGGTTGGTTCCCACACACTAACACCCAAGAGATAGGTAAGCATAATTAAGTTGTAGGTTTTTTGTTACTGCAAATATAATATTAAAAACAACATCCCGTGAGCTCTTGAAATGATAAAAACATAAACCTGGGTCAAGTTTTCTGCTTAATTCTTGCAGTAGTTAGTTAACGAAACAATTTATTTTGTTAAGAATAATTATTCTTATATGGCTGCAGGGGTCAATGTAGTGCACAATTCAATCCCAATTTGAAAGGTTAAAAATCTTTTTTTTTTAAAAATCTATTCATAAATAAATTTGAAGAGAAATGTAACATTTCTCCCTGTTAATGTGGGAAAGAAAGAAGTGGTAGTTATCGTAGCATTATGTATTGGAGAGTTGTTCAACAATAATCCCACATTCTTTGATTTCAATGTTGACTTGCCTCATGCTCTTTTTACAAACGTCCTTACATCTCAGGCGTGGCCTTCCAATAAGTGGTGTCCCTTCTGCCAACGCTCCATACAGCAGCTTATTTGCTAATTCGGCCATCCCCCAATTTTCCTTAAATGATCTAACCAGCAAAGACGCCTCTTGCTAAGATCGTAGAATATGCGACAATTTTGTTCACGTTCTAAGACCTTCGTGTTTAGGCACCTTGTCCTGCCATCGTATGCGTGAAATGTGACGCAGACATCCATGACGGAAGCTGTTGAGTTTCCGCTGATGACTAGTATATGTGATCCACACTGCACATCAATAGAGGTTATGTTTACAGAAGTTGGGTATTACGTTTGTGCCTTGGATATATATATATATATATATATATGCACTGGATGACGATAAACAAGCTCAAATTGAATGATGAAAAGACTGAGCTGATCTCCATTGCCACTGCTCAGAAACAAAAATCTGTAAAAAACACACAACATCACTTACTCTCTAAGGTATGCAGATTGAGTTTGCTCATACAGTGCAAGACCTGGGTGTCTATTTAGACAGAACACTTACTATGGAAACTCATATTAACATGCTTTGCAAGGCAATTTTCCTAGAGCTGCGCAGGATTAGTCATATCAGACCTTTTTTAAAATTCGAAGCATCAAAGAGGCTGATGTCTGCATTTGTGTTATCACGCAATGGACTACTGCAATGCTCTCATGGTGGGTCTCCCAGCTGCGCTCCTGGATAAAATTCAAAGAGCACAGAATAATGCGGTTCGCATTGTTCTTTGCAAACGGAAATTCGACCATGCTAAAACACTTCTGAGGGAGCTGCACTGGCTGCCGGTCCGCGCTCGCATAGAGTACAAAATTGCAACTTTGTGCTACCGCTGCTTAGATGACCTGGCGCCATCTTATCTCAAAGCACTCATGACGCCTTATGTACCCACTAGTGAGCTCCGCTCATCCGATAGTGGCAAAATATCGATACCGTGTGTTCGCCTTGAGACTTACGGAAAGCGCACTTTTGCATTTGCCTGCCAAACAATTTGGAACTCCCTTGAATCGCTCTCAGAAACAGCCAGACACTGGAGTCCTTTAAACTTGATTTAAAAACACACCTGTTTCGCAAACACCTTCTAGGGTGATGCTATCTACCATCTTTTTCAGTTAATGTATATCTTTATCATATGGTTGACTTTGTACCGCGCTTCGAGCTTTTGGGGATGAAGCGTGTTTTTCAAATAAACTTTATTATTATTATTATTATATATACATATATATATATATATATATATATATAGCCTATATATATATATATATATATATAGAGAGAGAGAGAGAGAGAGAGAGAGAGAGAGAGAGATAGATAGATAGAAAAAAAGAAAAGAAAAAGAACGAAACAGAGAGAAGGGAGAGAGACAGAGAATATTATTATTTTTATTATATATATATATATATATATATATATATATAGACTATATATATATATATATATATATAGAGAGAGAGAGAGAGAGAGAGAGAAAGAGAGAGAGATAGCTAGATAGCAAAATAGAAAAGAAACAGAACGAAAGAGAGACAAGGGTGGTAGACTGAGACATGGTTAGTGATCCATAGTGAGAAAGAGCGATCCATAGTGCGAAAGAGCGATCCATAGTGAGAAAGAGCGATCCATAGTGAGAAAGAGCGATCCATAGTGAGAAAGAGCGATCCATAGTGAGGAAGAGCGATCCATAGTGAGAAAGAGCGATCAGTAGCGAGGCTGAATGATCCATAGTGATCCAGATAGGGCCATAGAGAAGCAGAGAAGTTCATTGTGAGGAAGAATGATCCACAAGGAGACAGAGAGATCCATAGTGTAGCAAAACTTTCCAATAGTGAGGAAGAGAGATCCATAGTGAGGCAAAACTTTCTATATAGTGAGTTAGAGAGATCCATAGTGAGGCAGAGGGAATGCAAAAAAAAGATGGGAAGAGATGTATAGAGAATCTAAGAGATAGCTAGAGTTAGGGGAAAAGAAGGAGGGCACAACGAAAAAGGCAGAAATAGACAAGAAATATATTTGACAGACTGGGACAAAACACAGGGAATATATTTGACAGACTGAGACAAAAGAAAAGGAATATATTTGACAAACTGGGACAAAAGACAGGAAATATATTTGACAGAATGGGACAAACGACAGGGAATATATTTGACTGACTGGGGGAAAAGACAAGGAATGTATTCTACAGACTTAAGGAAAAGACAGGTAATATATTTAACTTACTGTAGGAAAAGACAGGGAATTTACTTTCACAGACTGGGGGAAAAGACAGGAAATATATTTGACAGAATGTTGGAAAAGACAGGGACTATATTTGACAGACTTGGGGAAAATACAGGGAATATTTTTGACAGACTGGAGGAAAAGAAAGGGAATATATATTTGACAGACCGGTTGAAAAGACAGGGACAAAATTTGACAGACTTGTGGAAAAGACAGGGAATATATTTGACAAACTGGAGGAAAAGACAGGGAATATATTTGAAAGACTGGGGGAAAAGACAGGGAATATATTTGACAAACTGGAGGAAAAGACAGGGAATATATTTGAAAGACTGGGGGAAAAGACAGGGAATATATTTGACAAACTGGAGGAAAAGAGAGGGAATATATTTGACAAACTGGAGGAAAAGACAGGGAATATATTTGAAAGACTGGGGGAAAAGACAGGGAATATATTTGACAAACTGGAGGAAAAGACAGGGAATATATTTGAAAGACTGGGGGAAAAGACAGGGAATATATTTGAAAGACTGGAGGAAAAGACAGGGAATATATTTGAAAGACTGGGGGAAAAGACAGGGAATATATTTGAAAGACTGGAGGAAAAGACAGGGAATATATTTGAAAGACTGGGGGAAAAGACAGGGAATATATTTGAAAGACTGGAGGAAAAGACAGGGAATATATTTGAAAGACTGGGGGAAAAGACAGGGAATATATTTGAAAGACTGGAGGAAAAGACAGGGAATATATTTGAAAGACTGGGGGAAAAGACAGGGAATATATTTGAAAGACTGGAGGAAAAGACAGGGAATATATTTGAAAGACTGGGGGAAAAGACAGGGAATATATTTGAAAGACTGGAGGAAAAGACAGGGAATATATTTGAAAGACTGGGGGAAAAGACAGGGAATATATTTGAAAGACTGGGGGAAAAGACAGGGAATATATTTGAAAGACTGGGGGAAAAGACAGGGAATATATTTGAAAGACTGGGGGAAAAGACAGGGAATATATTTGAAAGACTGGGGGAAAAGACAGGGAATATATTTGAAAGACTGGGGGAAAAGACAGGGAATATATTTGAAAGACTGGGGGAAAAGACAGGGAATATATTTGAAAGACTGGGGGAAAAGACAGGGAATATATTTGAAAGACTGGGGGAAAAGACAGGGAATATATTTGAAAGACTGGGGGAAAAGACAGGGAATATATTTGAAAGACTGGGGGAAAAGACAGGGAATATATTTGAAAGACTGGGGGAAAAGACAGGGAATATATTTGAAAGACTGGGGGAAAAGACAGGGAATATATTTGAAAGACTGGGGGAAAAGACAGGGAATATATTTGAAAGACTGGGGGAAAAGACAGGGAATATATTTGAAAGACTGGGGGAAAAGACAGGGAATATATTTGAAAGACTGGAGGAAAAGACAGGGAATATATTTGAAAGACTGGGGGAAAAGACAGGGAATATATTTGAAAGACTGGAGGAAAAGACAGGGAATATATTTGAAAGACTGGAGGAAAAGACAGGGAATATATTTGAAAGACTGGAGGAAAAGACAGGGAATATATTTGAAAGACTGGAGGAAAAGACAGGGAATATATTTGAAAGACTGGAGGAAAAGACAGGGAATATATTTGAAAGACTGGAGGAAAAGACAGGGAATATATTTGGCAGTTTGGGGGAGAAGACAGGGAATATATTTGACAGACTGTGGAAAAGACAGAGAGTATCGTTGACTGATTGTAGGGGGGAGAAATGGAATATATTTGTCAGTTTTGGGGGAAAAGAGAGGGAATATTTTTGACAGAAAGGTGAAGGTTTAGAGTATGAGAGAGAGAGAGAAAGTGGTAAGAGGAAGTTGAGAAAGACGCCCCACGTGACAAGTTCAATGTCCTATACACCAGATAATGAGCAATTCGATCTGTCCTGTAGTGGGTCACGTGATTGTGTTCGTCTGCTCCAGAACAATATTACGCTGATCCTCTAGGCCCTGTTCTCATAGGCACCGGATATTACAAGTGTGTGTGTGTTACAAGGGGGAGTACTGAAGGAAAGGGACAATTAAGGGGGTGATATGTATCGGAACCGGGGGGGGGGAGGTGTAAATGATCAGGAAATTGCATATCATGGTGTAGTCTCCCTTTACGTTACGCATTCATTGTATTTGATACCTCCAGCTTGAGGCTAAGATGTAAGTCAAGTCATTGAACAACTACTCAGTTCATCACGGTCTTCAGCTGATCTTAAGGCAAGGGCTGAGTTATCCATTGATTAGAGACAAGGAATTAGTTATCCATGGCTTAGAGGCAAGGACTGGGTTATCCATGGATTAGAGGCAAGGAATAAGTTATCCATGGCTTAGAGACAAAGACTGAGTTGTCCATCCATTACAGCAAGGGCTTAATTATCCATGGCTCAGAGGCAAGGACTGAGTTTTCCATGGATTAACCTTTGCTGCTACTCCCGGGCTTAGAGGTAATTTCATCAAAATAAGGTAACTAACTTAAAAGACAATAGCCGGTCAATGTTGTTTCAATATAGTCAATCATATTAATCAACATAGGTTTGTTTTTTCAATTAAAGTTAGCTTTAACCCGCCAAACAATTGCGACAACCACACACGAACTTCCCATCTACCAAACAATGGCGACAACCATGCTCGAACTTCCCATCTACCAAACCATGGCGACAACCATGCTCGAACTTCCCATCTACCAAACAATTGCGACAACAATGCTCGAACTTCCCATCTAAGAAAGTTATTTCAAGAAAAATTTGTGAGCGATATTCGATGGGAACTTGAGCTCCGTGCCCATGACGTCATTTGCGTGTTTATTCAATATTGGTGCAGGAGTCTTTCCTCTTTGTTTATTTAATTGTTAATTTTCATTTGACGAAATGTCGGCATACCCATGACGTCATTTGCGTGTCTATTCAATGTTTGTGCGGCGAAGGAATATTTTAATAACCGGTTGGAACAAGATTTCATGTGAATAATTAACGAAGATCCACTTTGTCAAGGCATTGTCTAAAATTTTCTTTATCCTTAAGCGGAAACTTATGCAGACTTATACCGATGTCCTTAACTTTACTGTTTGAACAGCCAAAAGCCTAACATTTGCTAGGCATCTTGAATTACTAGTTGCAGTGTGTAACGGGCTACTGTTGTCAAGCACTAGTGTGTTGCATACAGCCTCCCGGAAGTCTTACTCGTATTTACTCTCATCACGTGACAAAACAATTGACTAAGCGACTCCCATTCCATCACATTATTCAACTGTTTCTGCAAAGACTGGCGATATTTCTGCCAAACTCATATGTCTCTATCCCACTTCCAGGCAATCTAATCGGTCCTTTGAAGGTGATGTCAGATTGACATTAATAGCTGGGCGGAAGTGAGATAAACTGTTGTTGCCGAGGAGTCTGGGAGGTCTTGGTGGAAACCAAAAAATGGGGCCAGGGTAATGAAAGATAATTGTCTGGTTTTTTGTTCCTTTACTTTTTTGTTTTAAATTTCGGTTACCTTACCACGTGACATGAGGTTGGATAAAAGTGGATCTTGGGGGTATTCTTTGCCACATAACATGTATTCATTGGTAGTGTTCAATGTTTCCACATCATATTCATTCCTTGGTAGTGGGAATTGTGTTCAAATCCTTTGCATTTCTTGGTAGTGTGTAGTGTGTTCACATCATATATATTCCTTGGTAGTGTGTAGTGTGTTCACATCCTATGTTTTCTTTGGTAGTGTGTAGTGTGTTCACATCCAATTTATTCCTTGGTAGTGTGTAGTGTGTTCACATCCTATGTATTTATTGATAATGTGTTCACATCCTATGTATTCTTTGTTAGTGTGTTCACATCATCTGTATTCCTTGGTAGTGTGTAGTGTGTTCACATCCAATTTATTCCTTGGTAGTGTGTAGTGTGTTCACATCCTATGTATTTATTGATAATGTGTTCACATCCTATGTATTCTTTGTTAGTGTGTTCACATCATATGTATTCCTTGGTTGTGTGTAGTGTGCTCACATCCAATGTATTCCTTGGTAGTGTGTAGTGTGCTCACATCCTATGTATTCATTTATAGCGTGTTAACATCTTATTTATTCATTGGTACTTTGTTACGTTTCCGTTTTATTATTTTTTTGATATTCAAACTTTGATCTATCTCGTTCTCAATATTTTTCACACGGATTGTATGCAGTCACTATTTGATAATTTATGAATTTGCCTCTGGGTATTCGATAGGTCAGCCTCTACAGTAGACAAAAACATTCTACAACGGTTATACATTTCCAACTACAATGTGTACCCATTATATTGTTCAAGGATTCTAGACCAAGAACAAAATATGTACACATATGGGTATAACATAGTTCAAATGGTCAGGATTTTATATGCTGCACTAGTGTTGATCTGGTTTAAGAAATTATCACATTTGACCATCTGGTAGGGTATTACATTTGACCTTCTGGTACGGTATCACATTTGACCATCTGGTAGGTTATCACATTTGACCATTTGGTAGGTTATCACATTTGACCATCTAATAGGTTATCACATTTGACCATCTGGTAGGTTATCACATTTGATCATCTGGTAGGTTATCACATCTGACCATCTGGTAGGTTATCACATTTGACCATTTGGTAGGTTATCACATTTGACAATCTGGTAGGGTATCACATTTGACCATCTGTTAGGTTATCACATTTGACCATCTGGTAGGTTATCACATTTGACCATCTGGTAGGTTATCACATTTGACCATCTGGTAGGTTATCACATTTGATCATCTGGTAGGTTATCACATTTGACCATCTGGTAGGTTATCACATTTGACCATCTGGTAGGTTATCACATTTGACCATCTGGTAGGTTATCACATTTGATCATCTGGTAGGTTATCACATTTGACCATCTGGTAGGTTATCACATTTGACCATCTGGTAGGTTATCACATTTGACCATCTGGTAGGTTATCACATTTGATCATCTGGTAGGTTATCACATTTGACCATCTGGTAGGTTATCACATTTGACCATCTGGTAGGTTATCACATTTGATCATCTGGTAGGTTATCACATTAGACCATCTGGTAGGTTATCACATTTGACCATCTGGTAGGGTATCAGATTAGACCATCTGGTAGGGTATTGCATTTGACCTTCTGGTAGGGTATTGCATTTGACCATCTGGTAGGTTATCACATTTGACCATCTGGTAGGGTAATACATTTTACCATCTGGTAGGTTATAACATTTCAACATTTGGTAAGGTATTAGATTAGGCCATCTGGTAGGGTATCACATTTGACCATCTGGTAGGTTATAACATTTCAACATCTGGTAAGGTATTAGATTAGGCCTTCTGGTAGGTTATCACATTTGACCATCTTTTAGGATATCAGATTAGACCATCTGGTAGGTTATCACATTTGACCATCTGGTAGGGTATTATATTTGACCATCTGGTAGGTTATCACATTTGACCATCTGGTAGGGTATCAGATTAGACCATCTGGTAGGTTATCACATTTGACCATCTGGTAGGGTATCAGATTAGACCATCTGGTAGGTTATAACATTTCAACATCTGGTAAGGTATTAGATTAGGCCATCTGGTAGGGTATCACATTTGACCATCTGTTAGGTTATCACATTTGATCATCTGGTAGGCTATCACATTTGACCATTTGGTAGGTTATCACATTTGACCATTTGGTAGGGTATCACATTTGACCATTTGGTAGGTTATCACATTTGACCATTTGGTAGGTTATCACATTTGACCATTTGGTAGGGTAAATAACAACACATTTTAGAAAATGAAGTTAAAGAAGACGAAAGAGCTTTTTTCAAATATTTGTAATTTTACTGCCCAGACTCTCTTAGCCCCTGAACTTTTAGAGCTCCACTGATCACTGACATTCACTGACCACTAAGTTCCACTTACCATTGCGCTCCACTGACCATTGAGCTCGAGGGATCAATTAGCTTCAGTGACCACTGCGTTCCTCTGATCACGGAGCTCCCCCGACTACTGAACTCTAATGATCACTCATGTCCACTGACAAATGAGTTCCACTGACCACTGAGCTTCATTGACCAATGAGCTCCACTGACTAATAAGCCCCACTGATCACTGATTTCTATTGATCACTGAGCTCCACTGACCATTGAGTTCCACTCACCACTACTCTATGAATACCTGATCTAGACACACCAGAATATCCAGATATGCCAATGGACTCACCTAATTGTGTCATAATCCTAGATATGTCAGATTTCTAAATTTGTCAAATACCGAAAGGTGTCACATACCAAGATGTGTCATATACTGAGATGTATCACATACCAAGATGTGTTAGATATCTAGATGAGTCTCATTCCTATATGTGTCAAATTTCTAGATGTGTCTTATTCCTAGTTGTGTTATATTCCTAGATTTGTCATATTCTTAGATGTGTTACATACCAAGATGTGTCAGTTACCTATATATTTGTCATATTGCTAGATGTGTCATATCCCAAGATTGGTCATATTCCTAGATATATCACGTTCATAGATGTTTCTTATTCCTAGATGTGTCACATACCGACATGTGTCAATTTTCATTTCTGTTTTTATAAATAGATTAATAATTACATATAAAATAATCATCTTGCTAAACTATGAAGAAAGGAAGATTTCCGCCACTCTCATGCTGTCATTACAAAAATGGTTTACCTAACTTCTTTTGTTTAACCCAGAAAGAGCGTTTTCACTCTCAAGACTCACAAGTTTCCCCAATTTCCCATCCCTTTCAGCCTGACTGCTAAGTGTCTGACATAACAGACGGCTGTTCCTGTCTTTATTGAGTAACTCAATGCTCACCAAGTAGTTAACACCTACTGGGTTAAAGGTTCTTAACAAGTGGTGCATGTACCCCCTGGCGAACGGAAAGTAGTGCCAGTGGGTGCGGGAAGACCCTGGGGTTAACCTTTGCTGCCATCGCTAACTGCTGCCTTTAAATAAAATGATCAAGTTTATTTGCATTTTATAAGCAGCAGCAGATGTTTGTGTGGTGAATCTATGTTTGCACATCATTTGCACTTGTGCATATTTTTCGTTTGTTTTTGGAAGGTTAAGTGTGGAAGAAAGAACATCATCTTAATTAAATGATTTTTATCAATATTAAAAGGATTTTTATCTGGGAGTTTAGGTGGTGGGTGGGGGTTGCGAGAAATATTTTAAAATCGTGAGGGTGTATGGTGATGCAAAAAAGTTTAAGAATCCCTGTACTTAAGGAACATATATTTTATTTCAGTGGCCGATCCGTCCAGAACATGAGGCACCAGAACATGAGGCACCAGAACATGAGGCACCACATGGAAAACAACGGAACCACAAAAACAAAAAAGGATGCACTTATCAAGCAGCAGAAATCTTCGCTGTCAACAGCAGACAATCTTCCACTGTGAACAGCACACAATCTTCTCTGTGAAGAGCAGACAATCTTCCCTGTGAACAGCAGACAATCTTCTCTGTCTTCAGAATAATGACTTGAAGATGGCATCTGTACCACAGCACGTAGGTTGCTGTACCGCCAGATGTAGGTTGCTGTACACCAGATGTAGGTTGCTGTACCGCCAGATGTAGGTTGCTGTACCGCCAGATGTGGGTTGCTGTACCGCCAGACGTAGGTTACCGCAGTAGTTTGTGATATTGGAATCTTCTACTGCGGCAGATTCTGGAAGTATTTGAGTATAGGCCTAACTGGGCAAACACATCGGCCCATTTCTGAGAATACAGGATGTGTTAGGTGAATATGTAATATTCACATTGTGCATTGTCTGCATTGACTATGATGAAAATTACCAACCACCACATGGAGGAAAAGACCCTTTTATAAACTCCCCAATTCTAGAAGACACAAAACTAAAGGATTCATCAATTATATGAGAAACCAAAAAGCCCCTAAAGAAGACCTCATCACAGAAGATCTCATCACAGAAGACCTCATCACAGCGGAACTGATTAAATATGGAGGAAGAGAACGACACCCTCAGATACATCAACTAATTACTAAAATTTGGCAAGAAGAGAAAATTCCAACAGAATTGGAAACAGCATTAATAACCCCAATACACAAGAAAGGCTCCAAACTTCAATGCACCAACTACAGAGGAATCTCCCTATTAAATGTTTCTTACAAAATACTGACGAAACTTATTGCCAAAAGACTACAACCTTACACTGAAGAAAAACTAGATGATTACAAAGGTGGATTCAGGCAAAACAGATCAACGACTGATCAGATTTTCACCATCAGATGCCTATTAGAGAAATTTTATGAATATAATATCCCAGTACATCAATTCTATGTGGTCTATAACTTGGCCTATGACAGCATCATAAGAAAATATTTATATGAGACTCTGCAGGAGTTTGGCATACCCAACAAACTGACAAGACTGATACATGTAATATTGAACATATCAAAAAGCAAAATCAAGATTCAAGGATAATGTTCAAGGAATTTCAATTATACGAGTCATAAGACAGGGAGACTTAATGTCTTGTATTAATTAGAGAGATTTATAGAAAGGATACATATTGACACCCGAGGAACAAAAGCAGGATACTTTCTGAGGGAAACCCAAGACCCACAAACAATGGGCACTCTCTACAATCAACCCCTTCAGTATCTAGCATATGCTAATGACATAACACTGCTGTGGAAACGTATTAGAGACATATCAAAATCCTTTATTGAATTAGAAGACGCGTCACTACAAGCAGCAACCAAAAAACAAAATACATGACCATGATAATAGAATTAGAGACAGATGAAGACATTTAAATTAGAAACCAGACTTTTGAAAAAGTAAATGAATTCAAATACCTAGGATCTTTATTAAATGAAAGAAACGAATTATTAACATAAATAAAAGAAAGAAAAACAGCCGGAAACCGGGCATACTTCAGTAGTCAGAAAATACTCAAATGTAAGAATATTACGAGAGAAACAAAGAAAACTATTTATAAAACTGTAATCAGACCAGGTGTAACATATAAAAGTGAAACTTGGACCCTAACAAAAACTGCAGAAACCTAATAAACACATGGTAGAGAAAAGTTCTCAGGAAAATATTAATATAGACCAACAAAGGATGAATATGGTTGGAGAATACGAACCAACCATGAATTGTAAAGTCTAAATCAGAATCCCACGGTAGTAGCAGAAATAAAAAAGGTTAAGCTACGCTGGGCAGAACACTCAGAGAGAATGCCAAATGACAAAGGAGTGAAGAGGGCGCATCACCAAAACCCAAGAGGAAAACGGTTCAAAGGCAGACCTAGGATGAGATCAGTGTTTGCCAACATTGTTTGCGCCATGCCCTACCTACGCCTTTCTACAATTCTTATGCCCTCTCATGTAGCATATTAATAATTTTTAATATTCAAAAGTAAGGTTTTTTTCACTGAAGAAACTTACATGATTTTTGTAACATTTAGGGTAGGGTTAGGTTATTCCAGGTAAGTTTAGGTCAATAGGGTCATGGTTAAATCAATATGTGTAGCTTCCAAAACTAATTTATTCCCACACAGATGGAGGCAATCTTCTCAGCATAGAAATTGTGTATCGACATCTTTACCAACAAATGGATGCATCTCTCATCATTCAATCTCCAGCACTCAATATTGCTCATAAACTTTTCTGGTTATCCAATGTGAAATCTATGAACAGCAAAAAACCCATTTGAGGAAACCATATGTTGTGCTGTTTTTGCAAGGATGGTGCCTTTACATTTTAGGGGTTGAATGAGGATTTTGCACATTAATTTGAAATCAGAAATCAGAAAAAGTATGCAAAATTAAAATTTAATAAAAAAATCAAATTTAGAAATATTATACATTTTACATTTGTGTCTTAACAACAGAACAATATAAACATAATCAAAATTGTTTGTGTTTAACATTATGAAAGCACTTCATGACATCAACTTGTACATGTACATTATTTCATGACTTCAACATGTACACTACAGTATTTGCATTGTCTGCTATGCACATCCATACATACTGTATATTTATATGGGCTTTGTCGCCATTTCTAGCTTCTTGTCGTCACTGCTTTACTACTATCATTATTCGATACTTCACTGCTTCACTATTTCACACTTCAATATTTCACTACTTCACTACTCCAGAGTGCTTTGGCGTAATTTTCACCCAACACCCAACGGTTCTTTAAAAAACCTGTAGTGACGGAGCAAATCTTTGATAACCTGTAGTGACGGAGTAAAGCTCTGATAACCTGTAGTCACGGATCAAATCTTTGATAACATATAGACACGGATCAAATCTCTGATAATTTGTAGTCACGGATCAAATCTTCGATAACCTGTAGTCACGGAGCAAATCTTTGATAACCTGTAGTCACGAAGCAAATCTTTGATAACCTGTAGTCACGGAGCAAATCTTTGATAACCTGTAGTCACGGAGCAAATCTTTGATAAACTGTAGTCACGGAGCAAATCTTTGATAACCTGTAGTCACGGAGCAAATCTCTGCCAATCAGCGAACTTAACGTTGTTTCATCATGATTCCATCAACCACGCAGCACGTAGGCCGACTGATAGGTGCGACAAAATGTCTACGTCACTCTTTGTGGATGACGTAATTAGGTGCCAGTGCGAAATGGCATGTGTTATTCTCAGGGGGAAAAAAAACAACGATTTTTGCCCCCAAGAAACACTTGCCCATAAGAAACACTTGCCCATAAGAAACACTTGCCCATAGAACATTTGCAAGGATTTTTAGCTATTTTCAGGAACACTAGTTCTAGTACACTATTTCCAGTACGCTTTTTCGAGACACTTATTTCAAATCAATTTTTCTAGTACACGACTTCAGGAGCTTAAGAGTGGAAAAAGATCTAAAGCATCTGGGAAACCAAGCATGGAAAAGAAAAGCATTAGTAAGTTCTGTGAGGAAGGAAGTGATGAGGCAGGTCAAAGCCTTACATGGGCTGCAGGAACACAGGGATGACCGGATGGATTTGTTTAAAAGTCGATCTGTGACAGCTGTCACTTAGCGGCTTTGTCAGGGACTGCGCTATTTTAATGTACGCTATTTACAGGCTTTACAGTACTCTTCCGATTGCCAAAGATACAACCTCGTGTTGTTACTGTTTTTAAGCTGGCCACACACACGCACAAACACACACACACACGCACACACACACACACACACACACACACACACACAATGCTAAAATTCCATGGTAAACAGCTAAATCATGCTCAAATAATTATTGGTCGTTCACAAACTTGAAGAGACTTACCACTTCCACTCCTTTCCCGCCTTTTTTCCCAAGGTCACGGTCATTTCGACCAAGAGCAAACACAACACAAGGGCCACGTACCAGTAGCACGGCTCGTGCGTTGCTATGGTGAGGCGCCATATTGAGATGACGCCATGTGATGTGAACATCAGACGTACCATTATGGCACGGAAAACTGACATGTACCCCATCACGGTCGGCTACTCTGCCTGAGATTTAGAAAGAAAAAAAAGAAATTGAAATTACAGGACTTAGTCGATACAAAATGTGGGGTAAAATTTGATCGTTGTTAGTCTTGATTTAATGGCATGGCTACCCAGGTAACTTTGATTTAATGACATGGCTACCCAGGTAATTTTGATTTTATGACAGGGCTACCCAGGTACCTTTGATTTAATGACAGTGCTACCCAGGTAACTTTGATTTAATGACATGGCTACCCAGGTAACTTTGATTTAATGACATGGCTACCCAGGTAACTTTGATTTTATGACAGGGCTACCCAGGTACCTTTGATTTAATGACAGTGCTATCCAGGTAACTTTGATTTAATGACAGTGCTACCCAGATAACTTTGATTTAATGACAGGGCTACCCAGGTAACTTTGATTTAATGACAGGGCTACCCAGGTAACTTTGATTTTATGACAGGGATATCCAGGTAATTTTGATTTTATGACAGGGCTACCCAGGTACTTTTGATTTAATGACAGTGCTACCCAGGTAACTTTGATTTAATGACAGGGCTACCCAGGTAACTTTGATTTAATGACAGGGTTACCCAGGTAACTTACATTACGTTGTACATTACGTCTCATAAAGGAGAAAATTGTACATTACGTCACATGTAAGCAGGACATTGTATTTCGTTTATGGCCCCCTTTTCGATGGCTCCGCTAGTTTGACGTTATTTAATCTAAGTCATGTTTAAAAAAAGGTAGGTTTATTATTTTGAAGTCAGTTGAATTTTATTGATTGATGTCATGATTGGATGTCATGATGTTATCCCCGAGGTCCGAGTGACATTTAAAAATATTCAAATGTACACCTTGTGATGTCAGTTCCTGGACATAGATACTTCTCAGACAGGTCATCAAAAAAGATAAGAACTGGTTATTGGAACACACAACCCCACGCCCCATTCCCCCCCCCCCCCAAAAAAAAAAAAAAAAAAAAAAAAAAAAAAAATTTAAAAAAAAAAAAAAATTCAAATGTACACCTTTGGATGTCAGTTCCTGGACATAGATACTTCTCAGACAGGTCATCAAAAAAGATAAGAACTGGTTATTGGAACACACAACCCCACGCCCCATTCCCCCCCCCCCCCAAAAAAAAATAAAAATAAATAAATAATAAAAATTTAATAAAAAAGAAATTTGGTCGAATGAAATTTCGTCGACGGTAAATTGATCGACGGTAATTTGATCGAACTGAAATTTGGTCGAATCTTTTTTCAGATAACACGTTAAAATTTTCGTCAAATTTCTGTTTGAACGTAAAACAAAATAATACGTTCAAAAAGACATGGAATAAAAAAAAATTCCCGGTAACCTAATACAACAACTCCATTAGTCTACAAAGTGGGTGGTTTTACCTCTCTTCTTCTCAGATAATTCCTCCCCCCCTCCCCCCGCCCGCCCGGGACACATTAAACATTAAAAACATAATCCATGGCATTTGACATCTGATGTGTATCAATCTAATGTTTCAATGTTGTTGTTGCTTTTCAACATCTGAACAAATACATGCTTTTTGTTACGTCTTCAGCTCAGAATAGAATTCATTTATGTTTGTATCCCCTTGGTTTCAACTAGAATATACACAGATGAACTAAGATGTGTGGCCAGTTGCGAAATGGGGCAGCTCCCCCCCCCCCCCCCCCCCCCTCCCCCCCCCCCAACCCAATGTTTTTAATAAAATTGAAATATTTATTGTGTATGGGTGTCCTATTGAAACATTGGTTTCTAGATGTATCCAAGAGTTACTTCATTAAAGACACGTAATTATTGTCGCTGCCTTTTGTCTTTAGGCCTTCTTCGTTCAAACACAACGTGCGCATTTGAATATAACGTCATATGTAAGAAAAAATAAAGGGAAAAAAAAAGAAATTAAAAGTCCTGATATTTCTAATTTCAATCCTTGGCTAGGCAACCAGTTATATTGACTCTTTGACTGTAAAAGACAGAATGCCAATCAAATATATTAGTGGGTAATTATTTGTTTTTCTTATTAAGCTTCATTCTACTCAACCAAATTCCTTTCAAATAAGCTTCAAATTTACTCATAATTTTTGTATGAAAGCATTATTTTGTGCTTGGTTTTTTTTTGTGGACAAAAATGAGAATTTGATCAAATAGTAATTTGAAAGTTGTGACAAGGCTTCATGCAAAAATCGCATTAAATGTATGAATGGAAGTTTGAAAGGAATTTGATCTTGTGAACTTAGCCTCTAACTGAAAATCTATCAAATCTGGTTACTAGTTCCTTTTTGTTGAAGTTAAAACTCAACATTAAAGAACGTGAAAAAGACAGCTACTTATGACGTCATGGATATCATAATCTTAATCTCAAACCCAGAGTTTTCTGGTAATGCCATTATGTCAAGAGCCACTACTGAAGGTCGACGAAGTACGAAATGAACGCTGAAATTCATTAGCCGATTATTCCACTCTGAGAGCTAATGTTTACTAACTTCGTTCTGAACCAGCGTAGCCGAGTTTACCCAGCGCTCCAGTCAAGCTCAGGCCCGTCACGTGACTAAATATCGGTATGGGACGAGAGCTACACGTAGAGGCAAGTAAATGGGCGATTTATTTCGGTCTGATGGTAGCACCTGTTGCAATTCATCACCTAGGACAGTGGTTCTCATCCTTCCTAATGCCGCGACCCTTTAAATACAGTTCCTCGTGTTGTGGCGACCCCAACCACAAAATTATTTTCGTTGCTACTTCATAACTGTAGAGTACATGTGTTTTCCGATGGTGTATGGCGACCCCTGGGAAAGGGTCGTTCGACCCCCAAACGGGTCGCGACCCACAGGTTGAGAACCGCTGACCTAGGAGAATTAGGGTCAGGGCGGCTTCGACTTGGGAGAGTGGGCCAACGCCCCATGACGGGGCAAGAACTGGTCATTGAGTGTGGGAAGGGGAGGTCTCGGGGGTTCCATACCACGTGTTCCTCTTTATGATTTGGCTCAATGTGAAGACAGAAATGATGAAGTCAGCATCTCGGCATTGGAACATTTTATTAAATGACCACATTTTCTAGGAACGAAGTGATCGTGGTGTAAAGGCGTAACAAGAACTACGATCTAACCTTTCAGTTTCTGAAATGTTTGTAGGTAGAGCATCTGCAACATGTGGAGCAATTGGTGCATCTGGAGCATGTGGAGCAATTGGTGCATCTGGAGCACGCAGCGCTATTGGTGCATCTTGAGAATGTGGAGCAACTGGTGCATCTTCAGAATGTGGAGCAACTGGTGCATCCGAAGCACGTGGAGCGATTGGTGCATCTAGAGCTTGTCGAGCAATTACTGCATGTAGAGAAATTGGTGCATCTGGAGGGCGTAGAGCAATTGGTGCATTTTTAGCATGTGGAGCAATTGGTGCATCTGGAATATGTGGAGCAATAGGTGCACCTGGAATATGTGGAGCAACAGGTGCATCTGGAATATGTGGAGCAACAGGTGCACCTGGAATATGTGGAGCAACAGGTGCATCTGGAGCAAATGGGCCACTTTCCTTTGTCAGTTACCACACCTACTAACTCGAGCCCAGGTTATGTCACTTTTCAGTTTATGAATAATAGAATCGAACCGAACCCGAATCCAGTTTTGTGGCCAATTGGCAGAAGTAAACTAACACTGTTTCAGGTTGTGTTGGAAGTGGCAAACTAATCCCCCCCCCCTATAAG